GTATGGAAGTGGATAACGAGGCGTTTGGCTTCACCAGAGCCAGTCATACGTGCTTTTCCAGTAAATGACTCGTAAGTTTCTAAAAAAAGGTTATTAACAGCCTCAATAAGGGCTTTGTTGGTAGGGAATTTCTTAAGAGATTCAGGGGCAGCATTCGGTGCAGCCGCAGCCTGAAAATCTTCTCTGGTTATGGCGAGGGTCACCACTGGATCTGGAGTATGATCGTCATCTGGAGCACTATTGGTATCCAAATTGGGCGACGCGTCAGGGGGTTATTGCAAGTCTTTGTTTAAAGGTGCATGCATGGACGCGTCCACATTTCCAGAAGACGCGACGTGACCGGGCGCAGTTGGCGCAGCAGATTTTTTCGGGGAGGAGGTCAAAGTATTTTCGCCAGAGATATTTTGTTGAGGAGAAGAGGAAAATCCATCTACTCCAACGTCAGCCGTCTGGTCATCGGCAACGTAGTCTTCTTCCATAGAATTATCGGTAATCGTGCGATTACGTTTCTGCTGGACAGTGTTTTCACCATCAGAGCTTGAGTTATCAGAGTTATTGTTATTTTTTCGTTCTTGACGGGAAGTTTTCCTACTGTTAGGGTTATGACTTCCACGGCCTCTCTTGGCATAGTTACCAGACATAGTAGAGGGCTTTGAGTTGGGAATATATAAAATATAAAATTTTATTAGTAGCTTGTATTATTTTTTTTAAAAATAATAAAAAAAATTATTTTCGTCGGAAATTTTCGTTTTTGAAAAATTCAGGAGAGAGTTCACTGGTCAAAAACCACTGGTCAAAAACTAATATATCGGGTAGCAGATATGTATCAGATATGTACCTGATATGTGTAGTATTAATGCTGAAAATCGGGTACCCGATATGTGTAAGATATGTGTATATATATATATCGTCTACATATCATTTACATATCATATACATATCAGTACCCGATATATATATGATATATATATTTACACATATCTTACACATATCGGGTACCCGATTTTCAGCATTAATACTACACATATCAGGTACATATCTGATATATATCTGCTACCAGATATATTAGTTTTTGACCAGTTAATAAAGATAAAGGCTACTATGCCATGTTTGCCTAGTTTTTGACCAGTGAATGTACTTGCATTTGGGCTGGCTCTTCTCAGTTTTGAGTCTAACTACAATATTTGCATTTACAACCAACATGACCTTCTTTTTAGCACCAAAATCATTAAAATGAGCCCAAATAGGTCCTCTTTTTCTTCCTGATTTTCCTTTTTTTTTATTTGTATTTGATGGTGTGCCACTTGAATTTTCGCCACTTGTTTCTTGAGTAGACATTATAATTAGTATATAAAAGGATGTAAAAAAATATTATTTTATATTTAATTGGTACGCGTATTAGAAAATATTTTAAATTTGGCATTTTTAAAATAAAGAACTGGATTTTTCAAAAAAATTAAGAAATATAACATATGATTATTTAACATAATTATGTGTTAAATCACATACTGATTAACTGATCTACTTTCCATTTTAATTATTATAAAATTTAATTTTACTGCTGTAATTAATTTGACAGGTTTATTTAATTACGGCATATTGGCATTTTTAAAATCGCAACTGTAATTATTATGGTATAGTACGTCCGGTATAATGTCATAATTAAATCAATTATGCTGAGAAGTATAGTATTTATTGCATCTTGCATTACAAATTTATATATATTTTTATATTTATCATTTGCCATTTTAAAAAGGGTGCAATGTATAAACTAAAGATCGACATAAATAATTTACAAAAAAGGATACGGCTAAAGCGAAACAGAGCTGCAGTGACTCAGAAAATTTTGTACCAGATTCTCCCAATGGCACATAGTGGAAAAATATTACCTACAGTATCACAACAGTGTCACTGTAACGTGGCAGGACCAGTCCTTCGCAGCTGTATGGCTTATATGAGTACTCATCACACCTACAAAGGACCTCTCAAACTTAACCATGGTTTAATGTTGAACTGGCTGGGCGCCACAGGTAAATATTTTACCGAATGTGCCACATTGGGGAATCTGAAAAATTTTTTGAGCTATATTAGCTCTGCTTTAGCCATGCCCAAAAATAGAAGGATGCTTTGTAACGTAGAGTGCGGTAAATAAATTCACTCTTATTTTTATATATAGTAGATTTAAATTATTAGTAATTTTTATTAAGTACCTTATTTCTAAAATTAATTATAAAATAACATTTTATTTTCTAATTTAAGATTATTGCAAATCTGCAAATTATTATTCTAATATTATTTAAAGTTATTGTATATAACTATCATATTACTTATATTTAATAAATATGCTATTATATATCTAATGTCTTTTCTAATTAACTTATAAATTTTATTAATTAATTAATATAAATTTTATATTTTTATTTTTTTAGAATATTAGTTATTGAAACAATAAAATATTGCTTAAATTTTTGTTTTTTTTTTGTATAAATATTAGAAATATAAAAATTTAACTAAAATTTTATTAATTTAAATAGACCATTTCCTAATTAATTAATATATTAATAAAATTTAAATATATATTCTTTGGAATTTATATTATTACATATTAAAATTTCAGATATTGTTATTACTAGTATATACAATTTTGAGTAATTAACAAAGATATAAGATTTGCTACTTTTGTCTAAATAGTGTATATTTACACCTTTATATATAGATTTACTAGTTATTTTTACATACAAATTTATTTGAAATTTAGAAGTTTGATATAAAGTCATATTTAAAATAGAATTGTAAATAGAAAATTCTTTTATTTGTAAAAAATAAATTTTCCACAAAGTTTTAAAGTTCCATATATAAAAAATTAAATAATAATACAATCAGACCTCCATAATTTGGGACTATATGCATAATTTTCAAAATAGTGCATTTAGAAAGGGTGTGCATTTATAGAAGTAAAATAATTAGAGATCATATAAGCTTGGGACCGAACCAGAGGGTGCATTTAAAGAAGATATATATAGTTATAGAGGTTTGACTGGCTGGGATAATAATTAATTACTATTAGGCTATTATTACTTTCTAAGAGTTTATTAATATAATGTCGCATGATAATGTACAGTACCTACGTGGCCAAATCATCTTCTAGCAATTATCAGTATTACAAAAAAAAAGTAACAATTTCAATTTTTGGCAATTACACCATGGCCAATAAGCACAAAAAGTATATACAAAAGTTGGAACTTTGAGTGTTACACATAATCAAAAAAGGAAAAAGAGGTAGTCTTGTGAGGTTACGTAAGCGATGGAAGGAAGGAAATTGTAGGGTTCAAATTAATTGTCCTTCGCTACTCCGGACAAATTTACCATAAAATTTGGATACCATCTGAATGATAATAATATTTATTATATGTTTGTAAATTTATGAGTAGAACAAGTTTCTTTTATGAAGGTTGATCAGATATTTTTTAGGAAAACTTTCGTGTACCCAACGTTTAAGATTATCAAAAATTAAACTTTCCGAATTTACCCCATTTACCCGAACAGACGTTTCTTTTAAAACGAACCGACGAAAAAAAAAATTTCATAGTTGGAAATTTTTTAATAATGTTGTTAATAGTGGTTCCAATTATTATGTTATTACTTCATCATTACTTTAATACAATTCCACCAATTTTTCAAACAATATTTCAAGCAATTTCGATATTATTTGCAAATGTATTTATTGTAATTCCAATATCTATTATATTATTTATTCGAGATTTAGGAAATGTATTCTTTAATAAAGAAAAATCCGTAGACCCAAAAATTATTTTAATCACAGGCGCAAGGTATATTTTAAACAAAAAAAAATTCAATGGAATTTATAATAAATAATAAATCATAAAATTCGCTTTGTGTTTTTATAGCTCCGGAATAGGTGCGTCTATTGCAAGAGAATATGCTAAACCTGGAGTTATTTTAGGTCTTCTTGCACGTAGTGAAGGTTCGTTATGGTTAGATTCAAACTTAAGTCGACACTAATTACATAAATTAAAATATTTTCTAATTTTTTTAATAGATAAGTTAAGTAAAGTAGCGGAACAATGTATAGAAAAAGGTGCAAAATGTGAAATCTTGAAAATTGATATTTCAAATATTGAAAGTTTAAATAAAGCATTGGAAGATTTTGATGACAAATATCCAATCGATTTATTATTCGCTAATGCCGGTAAGTCATAAAAACTTCTCGTGGTCAGTAAATTGAACGTCACAACTAAAATTCGTATATAATTGTAGGTCAATTAGCTGCTACGAGAGATAATTTTGGTAAAGTTAAATGGGAAGATGCATATAAACCTTATATTGATGTCAATTATATTGGAAACATTGCAAGTGTAATGACTGTTTATAAACGAATGAAAGAAAGAAAACGTGGTCAAATCGCAAGTAAGTACCTTGTTTCTTCTTTTTATCTTTTCATATTTCAATTATTCTTAAATGCTAAATTATGCGCTTTTGTCTTCTTTGCTTTTATAGTTACAACTTCAATTGCGGGATGGTTTAGCCCACCAACAACAGCATTCTATAATTCTATGAAATCTGCATTAAATACATTTGCACGTGATCTTTTTTATATTGCTAAACCATATAATGTTCATATCTCACTTATAGTACCAGGATTAATTGAAACTAATATGACGGCACACCCAGATCAACCATTTCCTCATACTCCTAATCGTTATGAAAGTGCTGACAATTTAGCAAAAATCATTAAATACCAATTATCTTATAATGTATTTCATATTGGTTGGCCTTATTTTCAAAATATAATTACTTTTACTATAGCTACTTTTCCTATTAGAATTCAATTATTAATTTCCAATATGATGGGTAATCATATGACAAAAAATGGTAAAAATATTGTATTAACATAGTATATTTAAGATTTATTTATTTTAATGTGTTATCTGTTTTAAACGACAATAAAATGTTTTGTTATCTAAACTTGTAGAGATATATGATTTTTATTGGCTGACGATAACGTAGCTAACATAGAAACGCCCGATGACTACAAAATTTCTAAACCCTTATGCTTCGCTCCAAACAATATATAGAATATATAAACGTTACACTAAGAGTTGCTGATTGGTTCGGATGATTATTACTATTTGATTTTCATTGCTGATTCTTATTTTCAAAAAATTATTTGCCCAAAGATGAGTGAATTTCCAAAATTAGTTGATGATTGTTTACAAAATATATTCGAATATTTAAGTAATGATTTAAAAGCATTACACTCATGCGTTCTTGTTAATAGAAAATGGTGTCAAATTTCAATTCCGGTTTTTTGGAGAGATCCATGGGAATATCGAAGAGTAGGATCATTAAAAAAATCTTTTACTATAATCAACACATTTATTTTAACATTACCAGAAGAATCTCAACGAAAATTATTACAAATTGAAATTATTCAACATTCTTTTCTAAAAAAACCAATATTTGAATATTCGAAATTCTTACAAAGTATAGTTTTACATGAATTGGAAAATGATATTAAAATTTGGATTCATCATCAATCAAATCAATTTAAGCAACGTAAAAGGAAAGTCATCAAGAATTTTTCATTGATTGATAATAATAATATAAAAGGAAATGAACAAATACAGAATTTCAAAAGGAATAAAAAGAATTTAATGTATGAATTACTTAAATTCTTTCTTATTCATTCACAAAAAATAGATACACTTTACGTATTGGATTTTAATTTTTCTTTTATAATGGAAATTATTAAAAGAGAACCAATAGCAAAGAATTGTATCTCTAATTTACGATATTTGCAAATTGGATCTCATATGCTTCCAATATATTTATCAACATTATCAGAAATCTCAAATAATCTTGATCATTTAGAAATTGTAAATCATAATCTATGTTCTGAAGAATTAAGAAATTTTATTACCGTGCAAAATAATTTAAAAGAATTAACAATAGAAGCTGGTATAATTAGATCTATTAATGATCCAATTACTAATAATACTATAATTGAAATTTTTAAAAAAAAATCGATTATTAAACTTACTATTAAGGATTCACCTAGTATATTCATTGTTTTGAAAGGTTTTGATAGTTTAACAGAATTAATTATAATTTATAATAACAAATATTCTATAAAATTTTGGGAATATATGGCAAATTCATCATTGAAAAATCTAAAGAAATTGATTATCAATAGTAATAAGATTTATTATGATATTATTACACAATTTATTAATAATTCTTCTTGTGATTTAGAACAATTTATCATCACTACTACTTCAAAAGTTGAAGATCCATGTGATATTGGATTATATATCAATTCTATAAGTAATAATTGTCCAAGTTTAACTATATTTAAAGGAGTAATTAGTGAAAGTAATGTACTTGAATTGTCTCAATTATTAAAAAAATGCATTAATTTAAAAATTTTACATCTTTATCCAGTAATGCAAGATGTTGAACAAAAAATGTGTCAATTTGATAATCTTTTAAAAGAGATGATAAATATTTCTTCAAATAATTTATCCAGATTATATTTAGAAAATGGCTGGAAATTAACATTAGTGGATTATTTTAAAAATTTTATGGAGAAAAGAGAATTATTAAGACTAAAACCAATATCTTTTCATGCTCATAAAAATTTTGCTTATAACTCTTCAATATTTTTAACTATTTGTGAAGATTATAAGCAAAAAGATTATTTATTAGATTATTATTTTTACAAATAAACTGAAAGGTTTTTATAATAATATTTTTTTTTTTTACTTGTAATAAAATCTATCTATTGTTTTTTTTTTATGTATAAAAAAGTAAAAAAAAAAGTAAATTAATATAATATAATATACAAATTATTTCTATTAATGATCTGATCTAATTACTAATTTTACTGAATGAATAAAACTTTTGTATCAACAGGAAAACCAATTCTCTCTAAAGATCTTCTAACTGCATCCATCATACCATAAGGACCACAAACAATAACTTTACAAGCTTGAGTAGTATCTTGACTTAACATTCTCATAAATTCTTGTCTTTCGGATAAAATGCTCATTTCATTAGAACTAAATGCAAAAGGCAAAGTATCTCTTCTCATTTGCCAATTATAATTATCATCTATAGGTGGAGGTGTTGGTGCAGTAGGGTAATTATTTACAATTGGTGGTGGGCTATATGATGTTGTTAATAACATTTGAGGCTGTAATGATGGATCTTGCAATGAATTTTGTGATAGATTTTGTACTTGATAATTATTAGTAGGTTGTGTTATAGGTACGTTGATTCTTGGTGGTATTGCTGGAGGTGGTACTTGATAATTTTTTGAAATCCAGTTAAAAAGTATATCATCATCAATATGGCCGGTTAATCCTCTCCATATTGGTGGAGGTTTTGTTAAAATATGAGTTACTGTAAGTTTACCATCCGATGTTGATGCAAGGAAATCTAAGTATTTCATTGAAATTATGTCTGCTATTTGTGTATTTGCGCAGAGTAAATGTAATTTGAAATTTGATTTGAAATTATCTGCATTATCAAAATGATACTGAATCTATAAAAAAAAAAAATTCATTTTGAGAGTCAGAAATAATTTCAAGAAATCGTTAATTTAAATAATTAACTTACCAGTTGTAACATAGGAGTTAAACCTGTACCACCACAAACCATGAACAAAGTATCCCAACATTGATCTCCTCTAGCAGGATTTAATAATATTCTAGATTGTCCAGCACCACTATTACTAATAGTACCATATAAGGAACGACTTTCATCACCGAAAACGCTGTCTAAACCGAAATTACTTGTGTGATAACTATGATGTGGGTTAATAACAACATTATTTACACTATTTTGTCTCATTAATGTTGTTGTTCCTCTACGTACTAAATTTGGACTAGTTGGCCCAATCGTTGGTGAAGTTGGAAACACGTTTGTTGGCGATAATGATGATTGTATACTCATTCTTTCAGCTATATCAAATGGCCCTCTAACCGCTATTTCAAAATTCCTCAATTGTTTATCCTATAAATAGTGCGCATATAAAAGTTAAGTTTTTAAACTGCTTTAATAAATACAGATTAATATAAATTTAACTCACCAAATGTTGAGACATGGCACCATCATTGTAAACTTTAACTAAGACCGTAAATGTCTTATCAGTAGGTCCTTGTAATGGGGTATATGGTCTAATTACCACATGTTTATTAACATAACTCATAATTTCAATATAATCTCCAGGAAAGAACCTTGGTAATTTATCTTTTGGATGAAGAACTTGAAATGTTAATTTTTTAACACGATTTTCAGCATCTTGCCTTGTGGCCAATTCGATATTTGTCAAAATATATCTTCTAAATATGTAAGGCGAACTATCTTGTGACATATTAGTTAATGTAGTACTATTAGTAAGCGTACCAATATCATCTTTCTTTTGTTGACTATAATCATCTGATATATCTGGTATTCTTGCTACTACCATAGTTGCCAATTTAGATGTGGCAAATTTTGAATGACGGTGCATTGCTACTCTTGAATTTTTAAATGTTGTACTATTGATCAAGTCAATAGCATTAGCTATCGTTTTTGGACGTATTGTTTGATTCGTTTTTTTCTTCTTTATGTTTTTATTACTAGTTTCAACATCTTCCATTTGCTTCATCAATTTTTCATTTTCTGAAAAAGCTCTATTAATAACTATTTGATCCGCAGGGTCAAAGAAGAAATCATTTGTTATGTCAGTACCAATTACTCTTCTTAATATTCTTTGACCTCCTGGATGTATTTTAATCCATTTATGTATGTCAAACACCAATCCTTCTGCTACTACTAAATGTGCTCCTGCCATAACTCTTAAATTAAAATCATTCCAACTTATTGCTGGTAATTGTTCATAAACATCTTCGGGTATACAATTATGAAGTCGTCTATTTTTATCTCCTGTTTCTCTAACCGGCCATAAGAATTGCATATTTTTATATTTATAAACATATTCTGATACCACAATCATTATTACCAAGATTGCTACAATAATAATATTATTTAAATATATTAATATTAAATGTAAATAATGACATTATTATTTAATTATATTTACCCAGCCAGCACAAATAAAGAACATATACTGCTTGTACTGATCCATATTGTCTTAATCCAAGATAAATTTGGACCCTATAAAATTATTATAATTATAAATTATTATAAATATTTTGTAAAAATTTTTTTTCTTTTAACTTCAAATATTTACCATGAAAGAAATAATAATGAAACGCCTAAATAAAAATGGAGATGTTTTAACCCAACAACAATTCCTGTACTAGCTGATTCGACAGTTGCAAGTCCCCATATGGCAAGAATACCCAATCCAATTTGAATAAATAAAGTAAAATAAACCAGCAATCCGCAACTAAAAAAAAAAAGATCATCGATGAAAATCACCCTCTACCTCAAATTCAATAATTAAAATATTACTTACATTCCATGAGCATTCCTTCCATGTTGAGGAACAGTTGCCATAGCTGCGGCCCCAAAAGTAATTACCATTAAGCCTCCGAGCATTTGTAAGTTACGATGCTGAGACATATAGGAATCGATATGTTTCAAATATCGAACAATAAATATTGAAGCTAAAAAAAAAGGTATAAATAAATATAAGTTAAATTATGCATAAAAGCATATCTAATATTTTACGTGATAACTTAAAAAAACTCACCAGGGAATAGAATACTAAAAAGTTGATAGAATTACATACATATTTATATTAATAACTTTATACTTTTTATACTTTGTATTGTTAAATATATATTTAAATAATACTAACCCCCAAACTGTAAACATTGCAATACCATGAATTAATTGTGTAAGTGAATTCGACTTTAAAACTTCAGCGGAAGTTTCACCTGAAAAGAAGTTTACTTTTGTTGCTCCACGATTACCTCCATGATAAGAAAATTCCATCGAATTTGGATTCCAAGCATAAATCAATGTAATCATACTATTAGGAATTGGACGTCTATTTGGAGCATTTAATGGACGTGAAATTTCAACTTGAGTAACACCATTTAAGGTAGATTGACTTAATATTGTTACGAATTGATTTTCTGCATCTACTTCAGGTTTTTTATAACCATTAGACTTATAATCTTTTACGTATACTGTTGAATCATTTTTATTCCACATAATTGTCATATCAGCATCAAACATCCCAGTGTCTAATGGATTAAATCCTATTCCGAACCATGAATTGTTACTCAACATTGTTAATTTTAGATTAATTTTATCTGCTTTAATGACCCATCTAACTTCATAAACTTCACTAAATTTAATAACATTTTGTGGAGGATAATCATTTTTATCAACTGGTTCATTTGTTGCATTAAAAGTTACCATAGGTTGAACACTCCATAGATTTTTTGGATAGTTAATATATGATGGAGTATTTCTTTGAATAACTGATAACAAAGTTGTATTACGAATGTCATCAATTTCTGCAGTTGTAAATCCCGCATCAGTTCCTTCGAACCAAAATCTATCCGAATTACGAATTAAAGTCCATTGTTGAGTAACACTTGCATGAAAGAGAGGACCTAAAAGTGATCCTTGTAAATGGGGCTCAGCTAAACCTCCTATAAAAGATTCGACTAAATCCACATTCCCGTATGTAGATTGTAAACGATTTTGAACTTCTTGATCTTGTGAAATATCACTAAATCGAGATGCTCTAACTAAATCAAATGCTTCTCTCGCATCGTTATATAATGGTACTCCACGATCACGACCTCTCACAATATCAAGACTTGCAATATCTTGAACAGCTACTTTTGGACGAAAAGCTCTCATTTGATCAGCAAAAAAGATATCAATTTCTTCTTGCCTAAAAAAAAAAAAGTTTATGAGAACTAGGAGAATGTGGCGCAGCGAAATTATAAAAAATTTTTTTTTTTTTTTATCTACCTTTGAAGGGCCATTGAAAGAATCAATGTTGGAACACCATAATTTTCAATAAGATTAGGTATTTGAAGTGCATTAAGAGGTAATTCTGCAAGTTTATAACCATCTTTATTCACAATATCATAAGTATCACTCAATTCAGAATGACCATAACGAGAAGTAACAGTTGCAAAGAATGAATCAATAGACGGTGTTAATGAAGCGTCATATCCACTATAGGTCGGTAAAGGAGTTCCTAATAAAACACTAAGATATTCAAGATAAGTAATTCTTTGAATAATTGCAATGACCCATCTTCTTGCTTCTTGAAAATATTCTTCATCATTCCATTGATTCTTATGTTGTAAGTATAATTCATCACATTTACGATTATGTTCCCTCATAAAAATAAGCAAAATTGTATTTATAAATACATTTTTTCCTTTATGTTCACTAACAGCAAAAATATATTCATTAGTTACACCATCAATTAATGGATAACCAAATCTACCATCATCACTATCTACATAATTTAATTTAAATTTTCCAAGTCCACTTTCTTTATCACGAACTCTTGCCAATTGGGTATCAGTAATACCGTAAATTAGTGATCCATCAAGAAAAGATGTAATTCGATTAATACCATTTCTAATTGGGGCAATTGTTCTATTAAATGGTAAAGAAATGTCTGTCAAAGGCTGATTTGATGGACCAACAAAGTATTGTGAATTGAAATTTGAGTCATCCGGAGGGATGTATATGGCTAAATTTTCACCAGTAGACACAGTATTTACAATGTCCAAACTAGCAAATTGACCCCAAAACGTTACCTTAAAAAAGAAAGAAAAGTATTAGGAAAATCCGATACTTGGACAGATATAAATTATATGATGAGCATACCATATGAGAAGTTTTTCTTTTTGCTTTTTTTGCTTCCAGAGCATTTAAATTGTACTCATTTTCTAATTTTGATTGCAATCCGTTAACTAAGTCACTAACACACCTTGGAAGAGGGAGTTGTCCTTTTGGTAAAGGAGTCGTACAAAGTGTATCTTTTGGTACATCTATTGTATACTCCCCAGGTGTTGAAGCCATTGCATTTCCTGATGCATCCGGCCATGAAGTTTTTCCAATATTTCTGGTTAATTGTGACTGTGGTGTACCTGCTTTTGGATCACCTTTATTATTTGATTGTCCATCAAGCGGACGTATTTCCGCTTTTACTAATATTAAGTTGATGAAAATCAATAGCAATATTACTGCGGTAAACTTATTATTTAATATTATAATCATCGTTAAATATTTTTTTTTTTAAAAAAAAAGAAAAAAAAACCCAAAAAGTTAGAACAATTTATGAAATATGAGAGATATATAATATTTTTTATTTATTTATTTATTTATTGAAAAAGGGGTACTATTTTTTTTTTCTTTTTCTAAAAATAAAATCATTAATTGACAATATTAAAATTCGGAATTGATTATTTTTTCTTTTTTTTTTAAAAAAAAAAAAAAAAATTTATTATAATAGCAAATTAAGGTTTTGTTTTTACCATTTCTACTGTATTAGGTTACTCATTAATTTAATCGTTTCAGGATTATCAGGTAATAATATTTGCCCATTTATAAAGAGATCCTTTGTTTCTCCGATCGATTAGTAATTACCTTAAATAAGTGAATATAACACTAGAAATTAATGCGAGTGTCAAAAAATAGTAAGTTATTGAGACATGTTGTACTTCTCTTATTATGTGCTGTATTAATGTACGGAATTTTCTGTAAAAAAAAAGAAATAAAGAAAGAAAGAAAAAAAAAAAAAAAAAGAATAAATAAATGAAAATAAAAATAAAAGGTAAAAATGAAACAAAATAACAAAATTTGTTTTTATAGAAATATCAGAAACATTCCAATTAACATTCATTTACCAACTAAATAAACAAAAAACGCGTTTTATGATAATAATAATATTATTATCATTATTTTAATGACAATATTACACAATTTAGATCATTTTATTTTAAGTAATTTGAGGGTACGATTAATGATATACAAGAAACTTGCAGAATTTAGGTTCAATTAAGAGATTTATTTGGTCTAAGATATCCTTTTTAGGAACAATGATAAATTAAATTTTTTAAAAATAACTTTTTTGTTGCATTTTTTTTAGTAAATAAATAAGAATATAGATCAATTGATTTTAACCATCAGATAAAACCGTTGATATAACCCTGCTTTACTGACTCACCAATACGGTGCTCGGGTGCTGTGTACATTAAAATCAATGTACATGTCACAATATTTTTCTTATTATAACTCTTGTTATTGGTCGATTATCAAATCTAATCTGTAAGCTATGAAATTATGTTTGAACTTTACTAGTCTAATCTTAGTTAATTTACGGAATTCCACGAATAATTGTTTTAACTTTATATAAATACAAAATGTTTCAGCTTTTTTTTATTATTATCTAACTATATATGTACTCTATATCCGAAATTCAGGTTTCCATCGTAAGAAGGTAGTCCCGGGTCTCACATTCTTTGCAGTCCTAATAATGGATGGAAGGCTGTGGTTGATCCTTACACTTTACTATTAATAGTTTTAAGCGACACAATACAGTGCCCTTTTTTTTTACGGATTTTCCCCATCTGTCAGCCGTCTAAACCTGCAGCCTGCTTTAAGCTGGTTAAAGTTTTACAGTTTCACTGATTAACGTAAAGAATTTACAAAAAAGTAAGAATAATCACAGTGTATCATAAAATTTATTTAAAACTTTGCGATATAACGCCATTTTCCATAATAAGTAATCTATGTGGCGGGCATTTACGGGTCCCAATCATTCTGGTCGATCTACCATGTACTTGTGGTCGGAAGTACACGTAGTCATGTGAGTAACATGAATGTATCCAAATTCTCGAATGTCCTAACTTAGTTGAGTTTGAAACACTGAGGTATAGGATTGTTGGGTTCGAGAATCGTGATATTGTCAAATTTGGGTTTTGGACTACGTCAGAGATACGGGAAAGACTTAATTTTTAAAAGTATAAGAATAATTTATATTTATTACATTACATTACGACATTACATGTTCGCATACGTGATACGTTCGTAGCATCACGAGGACGAATCACTCAATTTGGTTTTCATACGTAAAATTTGATTTTTCATAGTTTTAAAAATTCGCGAATTGGAGAATTGATAAGTAATATTTTTTTTTTTTACAGAAAAAAAATTTTTTTTTCATCATATCAACTCAACTCATATCAACTGATGATCTTACCAAATGTTAATAGATCCCTTTCAATATAATAAAGAAAAAATTGACCGATTTAACACAATATCAAACTGTTAATAAATTATGATTCCGTGACACAAGCAATTTTTTAATAAATTAGATGTCATAATTAAAACGGATAACTTCCTTATTTCATTTATAAGAAATAGCCATTCACATTCTTTTTTATTTTTGTGCAACTGTAAAACGTCATGTATCTCTCGCCATTTTCTTCACAGTAGTTTTACAGAATCAGAATTTCCTACTACTATCATTCGGAATGGTCATGTTGGCGCAAATTTGTTTCCCTGTTCTAAAAGGTTAATGGTTGGTGTTGTTTCTTTTTGACTAGCACATGATTAATTTAAATGAATTTCGTTATGCAAACACGCTTGTGACCCTTATTTAATGTGCCATGTTATGCATTATTTACAACAATAATGCGTGGGAGGAAACTTTCATTTATAATAATTATTTGTTACAATTCTTAGCGATTTCGCCTTCCTAAAACGGTTAGTAAATTTTAACGGTTTTTTTTTTTTTTTTCTTCTTCCCCTTCTTTTTTTATTCTAGATACAATTTCTTTTAAATATAATATTTCTTAAAGCACATATAATTCATACAAATTGAATTATTGATTTCAAATTTTTCAAAATTTTATATATATATATATTATCCCGGTAATTGTATATAATTTGTTTCCCTGCGAAATTTATAATATTATACATATGTATGCTTGCTTTTCATGTGAATTTATTTTTTCTGAAAAAAGGTTGGTAGATATGTGAGTTTTCCTAATACATTATATTCGTCAATCCCATTATCTATTCCCAATATAAGTAAAAAGAACGTTTTTTTTTTTTTTATAATTATAACTACATATATATATATATTTATTTAATTAATATTATTATATTGAAAGCCGCTAAGCCGTTTAATTTGACACATATGTTATTGACTGTATATTCGGAAATTACTTTTTATTGTTTTTTATTTTTAAAAATCATATGCATTATAATTTATGTCAGTTACAACCTTAGAATAAACATGTTTAGTACTTGTCCATAGATTTGCTTATCAAATTATCTCATCCCTCCCTTTTTTAAGTAAATGAGGGGAAGGAAAAATAAAACAAGCGTAATTTAGAATAGACCATTTAACTTTCCTTTTAAAGAAGAAAGAGATCGCGGATCTCTCCGGTAATTAATTATTTAAAGAATAGAAATCCTGACTCTCACTTGAAACCTTGTTAACACGCTTTCATATATTTTTTTTTTTTTTTTACGAAACGTTAAAAAACGTTTCGTTAAAAAAATAAAAAATAAAAATAAAAAAATCGGAACGTTAGCCAACGAAAAAAAAAAAAAAAAAAAGAAAAATGTCACCAGCATTACCTACAGAATGTCTTGTAGAAATATTAAAAATTCTTAATACATCTTATACTTTATATCCTTGTATTTTTGTAAACCGAACGTGGTGTACTGCTGCAATGCCTTTACTTTGGAGTGATCCTTGGAAACATATTTTTGAATGTTATGAAGAAGAGGAGGATGATGAATTATCTGAAATGTTAATTTCAACTTATATATCATGTCTTTCAGAGAATGATCATAATTATTTAATTGGTTCTGGAGTAATTTTAATGGATTGGATGAAAAGAAAACCATGTTTTGATTATCCTGCTTTTCTTAGAAATATTAATTTTAATGATATTAGTTATAGTATTGAAAAATTTATATGTAAAAATATTGAAAAGGATGATTATGATTCAAGATTAATTAATTTTCTTATTGAAAAGATTGGAAATTTATTTATGAAAAAAATTCAAAGGCTTGATTACTTACAATTTTTAGATCGGTTTGACCAAATTACTCATGTTGATTATTCCCCTCTGGTATTGCGAAACCTTCCTAAAGCGAAAAATGCCTTTTGTCAAATTAGGAAATTTGTATGTAGAGGTGATACAAATTATGAATTTTTAATTGCATTGTCAAAATGTTGTAAATTAATTGAAGACTTGGAAGTATTGGATATTTATGAGGATAATAATGCTTTAGCCCTACTCATAAGTTCACAAATATCTTTACGTAGTTTCCGTTTAGAAGTTTCAAATAATACTCCTAGAAATTTTGAAATTATTAATATTCAAAATTCTTTTAAAGGTATTGAAACTTTAATTGATTTACAATTATATAAAAAATTATTACCTTTAAATTTATTTACAAAATGTAATGGTTTACAAAAATTACATTTTGATTCAAAACATGATGATATTCAAGGATTAGAAGATTTTGTTAAAAGAAAATTTCCGGATTTAAGAGATTTAAAAATTCGTGTAAAGAATATTAATATTTTACAATTTTCTCAATTAATTAATAATACACAAGGATTTGATAAACTTTGTATTTCAGGAAATGTTAAAGATCCTGAAAATGCTATAATATTTCGTGATTCAATTATTAAAAAATGTATTAATTTATATAGTTTAAGTCTTGCTTTTCAACCTATAGAAATTTTTATACCAACTTTACCAATACTTTTTAAAACTTTTAAAAATCTTCAATTCTTGGATTTAATGTTATCAGCTTCTATTGATAAAATTAATATTGGTGATGAATTAATTGAAGCGGCTTTATATATTCCCAAACAATTATGTTATATTCATTTCCCAAAAAATTGGTATTGTGATAGAGAATCAAATAAGAAATTTTTTGATGTTTTAGATAGAAAAAATATGAATTTGACAATTTTATTACATGTTTAATATTATATTTTATTAATAATAATAATACATACATACTATTTATTTTATTAATGACGTTTTAATCATGTGATATATGATAATTTTTGTATTATAATTTATTCATAAAAAATCCCAATGTAACTAAAATATATACATATAATTAATGAATGCCTTTTACATTTTTTTTTTTTTCTTTTTCAAAAAAAAAAAAACTATTTAACTATTTATAATTATGAAATAAATAAAGCTTTTTCATCGATAGGGAAACCTAATTTTTCCAAACACTTTTTAATACTATCGTTAAATCTACTGGTACCACATACAACCAATTTAACTTGATTGGTATTATCTGCTGCTAACGATCTCATATAATTATATCGTTCATTTAATATTATTATTTCATTTGTCTGTTGTGGATTATAAAGTGAAGGTGAAAAATAATATGGTAAATTCTGTGAATTAAAAGACAAATGAGGATCAGAAGGTGATGTTTGTGTTTCTACTGGAATTTGTAATGGGGAAGGCGGTGGAATTCTATTACGATATTGTGAATCATATAATTCTTCATCATTATATTGTCTTCTTTGTTGCTGTTGTCTTGTTGGTTCTATAATTTCTTCAAATTCATCATATTCACTCGTTGGGCCTTTACCATAATTCCTTGGCCTAGGAGGAGGTTGATTTTGATTTGTAATAGTACTAGTACTGATCATACTATTTGTATTGCTTCCACCTGCGCTACCATAATTAGATAATCTTGGTGGAATTGCCGGTGGAGGTACAGAATAATTTTGATGAATCCAATCAAATAATAAACCATCATCAATCTGTCCACTTAATCCTTTCCAAATTGGCGGTGGTTTTGATAAAATATAAGTAATTCTGAGTTTTCCCTTGAGTACTGTACATAAATAATCTAAATATTGTGGTTGAATTAAATCTGCGATTGTATCATTTGCGTTTAATAAATATAAATTAAATTTGGAACCCGAAGTGGCTTTATCCATATGATATTGTATCTAAAAAAATAATGAACATTAATATTTTTAAAATATAAATATAAAAATTACATATCATTTTTAAAACTTACCAATTGTAACATTGGAGTAATTCCAGTGCCGCCACAAACCATAAATAAATGATCCCAACATAAATCTTCTCTCTCTTTATTTAACAATATTCCACTTCTACCTTCAAGTAGATGATCATAAGTATTCAAATTATAACCTTGTATATTACTATCACCAAAACTATACAATGATTGTCCTCCTCTTATACTACCATATTGTGAACGTTGTTTAATTTTGTCGCTATAGATAGCGGAAAAATTATCATTACCAGTATTAGGTGAAGGCAATGGAGGTGATGATGGTCTACTATGTATTGAAGCTGGTTTTAAAGATGGTGAAGACACTTGTACCATTCGATCAGCTATGTCGAATGGTCCTCTCACTTTAATCTCAAAATTCCTTAGTTGTTTGTTCTATAAGGAAAAAAATTTTTTTTTAAAAAAAATTGGTTATATGTGTGTATAATATATATTCTAATTTACTTACCAAATGTTGGCTCATTGCCCCATCTTTATATATCTTAACTAAAATGCAGAAGCTATTTTCAGATGGTCCTTGAAGTGGAGTATACGGTCTAATAACTACATGATTATTTGCTTCACTCATAATTTCAATATAATCCCCGGGAAGGAATTTTGGTAATCTATCTTTTGGATGTATAACTTGAAAAGTGAATTTTTTCACAGGTCTTTCAGCATCACTTCTAGATACAGTTTCAATATTAGATAAAATATATCGACGGAAAATATTAGGATAAGGTAAAGGTTGTTGTGATTCGTTTAAGTCATTATTAATATTCATAGTATTCAATTTTTGTTGTTTTGGTGATGATACTGATGGTGAACGTATACTACCGCTTTCTTCTACAGGATCTATTATCCTTGCTACTACCATGGTAGCTATTTTCGAAGTAGCAAATTTTGAATGTCGATGCATTGCTACTCGTTTGTCTCTAAATGCTGTAGCATTGATCATATCAACTGCATTGGCTACACTATGTGGTTTATTTGCACTTTCTTTGTTACTAATTTTCTCTCTGTACATGTTATCTGTTAATACTGATATACTATTTTGATTGGTCTTTTCGTCATATTCAGCTTCAAAATTTTTATTAATAACGGTCACGACTGATGGATCAAAAAAGAAGTCGTTGGTAATGTCCGTACCAATGACTCTTTTCAAGATCTTTTGTCCACCCGGATGTATTGGAATCCATCTATGTATATCAAATACCAACCCTTCCGCTATAACTAAACTAGCACCTGTCATAACTCTCTGATTAAATTCCTAAAAGGGAATACGTACATGTATATATAAGTATATAAAAAAATACGATAATTTTGGAAAAAAACCAAAATTTATACATACATTCCATGTTATGGAAGGTAGATTTTCATAAACTTTATCGGGAATACAATCACGAATACGTCTTGACATTTCGTCTGTGCTTTTTACTGGCCATAAAAATTGCATGTTTCTAATTCTATAATAAAATTCACTTGCTGTTATTATAAATCCAAACATCACTATAATGTAATATCGTATTTTTTTTTTAAAAGAAAAAGGAAGAAATTTATTATTAGATAATTTAATTAAAAAACAAAAAAATATTCCATATATGAAATTTTAAAATAATAATACCCACCTAACCATCCAGTGTAGGCCCAAATATATGGTCTATTCTTATTATTTCCATTAAATTTTGTGTCAAATTGAATCATTCCCAAGTATATATTAGCCCTAACATAAACAAAATAAAATAATTAGTTTAAAGATAAAAAGCTAAGTGCTCATAATCCAAATAATAAAATTTTGTTTTACCATGCAGCTAAAAGTAATGCACCACCCAAATAAAAATGAAAGTGTTTTAAATAACGAACGATTCCTGTTGCTGCTGATTCAACATTAGCCAATGCCCAAATTGCCAATATACCTAGTGCAATTTGAACTCCTGTAATTGCGAATATAATTATTCCCATTCTAACACAAAAAAAAAGATAGATGTTAATAAGTATAATAATAACGAACACAAATTTCAGTGGTCTAACTTACATTCCATGAGGAGAACTTGCTTGTAAGTCTACTACAGACATGGCCACCGCACCAAATGCCGCTACTATTGCACCACCAAGGAGATTCAAATTTCGATGTTGAGTCATATATCTAATCAACATATTTAATCACGGTTTAGGAATATAGTTATTATTTTTTTTTTTACAATATATAAAACAAAATGAATAACAAATAATACATACGAATCTATGTGTCTCAAATATCTAACAATCCATACAGAACCTATAAAAATAAAATTCGTAAACGAGTTAAAAAAAATTTTTTTTTTTTCTTAAAAAAAAAAATCTCAATATTAACCCACCTGGGAAGAGTACTCCCCAAATTATAAACATTACAATTCCGTGCATTAACAATAAACTTTTTTGTTTAGCATCAGCAAAGCCAGAACTTTCTCCTGTTAATAGATTTATCATTTTTGTACCACGATTTCCACCATGATAAGACAAAGTTTTTGAATTAAGATTCCAAGCAAAAACCACTAAAATTTAAAAACAATGTTAATATAATTTTTTTTAAAAAAATAAATAAACAAATATATGATCGTTTTCTTTCTTATCTCTTACTTACTTTCGATTTGATTGTTAAGAGATTTTCTATTTTTAGCATTCAAAGGTCGCCTAACCTCAACTGTAGTCAGTCCACTTGCGACACTTGTGCCACTCAATAGTGTTATAATTTGATCATCAGGAGGTAATTGTCTAGGTTTGACAGCTCGATCAACACCTTTATAATTCATTCCAACAACACCGCTAGAATCTTCATTATTCCAAAATATCATCATATCGGTATCCTTCATAGCAGCACCATTGGGATTAAATCCTATACCAAACCACGAATTTATGCTACTCACAGTAATTAGGAAAATAACATCTGAACCTTCTATTTTCCATTGCATATCGAATCCGTCAGCAAGTGATACACCATATCCATAATTACTATTAGATGATGATGTTGATAAAGCAGCTGGTTGTACAAACCAAAGATTGTTCGGAAAAATTGAAGATTTTGGTGTATTTCTTCTTATAATATCTACTAATCTTGTTGTTTGTATTTTAGAAATATCATCACTGCTGAATCCTGACTCTCCTTTATTTTCATACCAAAATCTATCCGAATCTCTAATTTTTGTCCATGTTGCATTAAAACTAGCTGAAATTAATTCTCCGTAATTTCCTCCATTAATATGGTCTTCTGCTAATGCACCCATTAATGGTTCAATTTGATCAACTGAAGTGTAAGTAGATTTTAATTTTTGTTGTACTTCAGCATCGCTTGTTATTTCTTCCCATGATGCTTTTCTTGACAAGCCGAATGCTGCTCTTGCATCATTATATGATGGAATTCCATGATCCCTAGCTCGAATTATGTCAAGACTAAGTAGATAAAATTAGAAAATATATTTAAATGAATAAATGGTAAAATTATCGTATGTGCATGTATTTTAGTTGTCAAACTTACGCAGCAATGTCCATAGCTGGGTCTGGTGATCTAAGTTTTGCATGATAACTTCGCCTATTAATTCAAATATAGATAGTAAAGGTTATCAATTTTAATATTTTTTTTCTCTTAGTAAAAACAAAATTATAGGTATATATGTATAAAGAACTTACATATTTTCAGAAAACCAGATGTCAACTTCTTCTTGTCTATAAACAACAACAACAAAAAAAAGAGTAATAATTTATATTTGGAAACTTATAAAATGAAATGAATGAATGAAAAAAAAAAATACATACAATTGAAGCGATAATGAAAGGGCGAGTGATGGAACCCCATAAAGTTGTAATATGGACTTCTCTTTTAAATCGTGTAATGATAATGTCGCAAGATAATCTCCATGTTCATTTACGATGTTATAAAAATCGCTATAAAATGTAAATAGTATCGGTATATTAATAAAAAAGAAAACGCGTAAAAATAATGATAATCAATTATTTTAATGATATTACCTAATCTCAGAGTGTCCATAACGAAAGGTAACGGAAGAAAAGAAAGTATCAATTTGTGGCCTAATGTCTGGTCTATATCCAGTATATGGAGGTAAAGGAACTCCTAATGCGGTTCCAACTATATGGTATATGACGAAAATTAGTAATAAATCAATACAAAAAACATGTCCTATAAAAAACTTACGATATTCATAATAAGTTATTTTTTGTATATAAGCTATAACCCATCTTCTAGCTTCCTGAAAATATTTTTCATCATCCCAACTATCTTTATTGACTTCATAAAGTTCATCGCATAATCGATTGTGTTCACGTAAAAAAATCGTAGTAAACGTATCGGTAAAGACATTTTTCGTTGTTGCTTTAATTCCTATAATCAAATTTCCATCCTCATCTGTGCGTGGATAACCGAGTTGCCCATCAGGCGTTGGATAAGTAGCCAATTTCATTTTTCCTCTATTACCATAATCTCGAAGTAATTGTAAATCTGCTTCAGAGTTTCCATAAATAGTGGACGCATCAAGAAATGATGTGGCTGTGTTTAATCCTGTATGATTACCATCTGCTACTGATCGATTAAATGAAAGGAATGGCTAGTGAAAAAAAGGTTTCATTCGTTAATAATACGTAATAATTTTATTATAGTAGGATAAAAAATTACTTTCTTTTTTTATACTTACTACGTTATAAGCAAATGAACTGGCAGAAAGACCATTTCGATAATTTGATAAATATGACTGATCATCTGTAGGGATATATACCCCCTGAGGAAATATGTCACCTCTAGAAGGGGCAATAATAATATCCATCCTTATGAAGAATGCCCAATACGTTAACTGAGAAAGTAATAATGATTAATTAAATTATTTGCATATGCCGCAGTATTATGCTATGCAGCATTAAAAACCAAAAAAAACCAAGAAAATGTAACTTACGATATGAGAATTTTTTCGTTTACTTTTAAATTTATCCAAACGTTTAAGATCAAAAGAATCCGTGTCTTTTAACGTCATAGCGGTAATTAAATTACTAACACATCTAGGTAAAGGATAATTACCAGCGGGTAATGGATCGACACAAGATACTTTTGGATCAGTTGCATAATTTCCTGGTGTAGGGACCATTTGAAATGTAGCCGCATCCCCATATAACAAGTTTGGCAAAGCTTCTCTAATTAAAGGAGTATTTGGAATGCCATCCGATGGAAAATTTCTATTATTTCCTTCACCATTTATTGACCGATAATCACATGTTACAAGGGTTATTAGAAGAATTAGATGGAATAATATTTTAATTAACATTTTTTCTCTTTTTCTTCTAATTCTCTTAATTTATAAATTTGTAATTTATTCCTTAAAATATGAAAAATTATTACTATTATTAATTTTTTATCTCATCAAATGATCTTATTTACGTAACGTCATAAAAAAAGGACAAAAAAATTGGAAAAAAATTTTCCCTTTTTTTTTTCTAAAAAAAAAAAGAAAAAGTGAAAGAGAATCACTTGTTTCTAAATAATACCCATTAAACCATTCAAAAACCTTATAAATAAGTAATTCTTGCTATTGTACATGTAAGCTTTTTTTACAATAAGATAACTACCACAAGGTAGTGCCAAGTTTTATCCTAATAAAGAAATTGATTTTTTACACAAAATACTCACAAAATTTCACAATTGCTACAATTAATAATGATTTTTTTTTTCCCATTGAAAAGTCTATGCTGGAATGAATTCTCCATTAAATGAATAACACAAATAATTGCGCAACCTTTCTTAATAAAGTTTAGAATTATGGTTGGCGTCCTAAAAATTGGGATAGGCGTCTATTATTAATAGTAGTAAAATTTTTTTACAGATTAATTCGGAAATTTCGGAGTTACCCATTTGAAATTCTCCCAAATTTCTATTTTTACGAATAGCCGATACTCATTACACTCATTATAACGGGTTAATTCTAGATAAATTTGGAAGAATTGCTATCTTATTTAGATTGTATCACAAAAGCAAATCATCGATTAATTTGTGTGAGGCTTGAATCGATTATCAGGTATCTAACGATATATAAATTGGTAGGTAACGTTACTCGAGAAAAATCAGGAATTAAAAACACTTTTTTTATATTAACGTGCTCGGAAAAGGTCGGAAAGGCCTATCAAATTAAGTTTCTAGATAGTTCTCCTTGGCGGTATTATTGTTAATCTTGACTTTATAAGTAGAAAGATACTGAAATCATTGATTACTAATTTTAGTTTAAAATTTTTGTGTAGCATGTGTATCAGAACGTAAATCTTTAATTCTTTATTTTCATATTTATGGTAAGGAAATGAGTGTGCAAATTCATAGTTATTTTTAGATAAGGAAAAGCCAACCGGTAAAGTTTAGTTAGGTTTAGTCGAAACAGAAATAAGTTATATTAAAAAAAGTCATGATATTTATTTGGCATTAATAAAATAAAAATATATTGTGTTGGTTATTCATTGATAAATAAAATTACAATAATTAGAAATATCTGGTGTATATAATAAATATTTTTATACATATAATAAATATGAACTCGTCCCAAAATTCTTTCATCTTTCACCTATTTCTTCTTCAATTTCATCTATTTGTTTTTTTAGTTGTTTCACTTCTCTCTTCTTATTGGCCTTTTTACTTTTAGCATATTGATCATCTCTAAATTCTAAAGGGATTTTATCTAAATCTATTATAACTTTGTGGTTTTTATCAAGACTGGCACCTTGATTGGTTGACTTAATACCATCTTTCCTAAATTCGTTAACCATATCATTTGAACCATTTTGATCATTAGGTATCCAAACGCTAGGTTGTATGGCCACAAGAGCAGGATGCGTAAACGTACTTGCTCCATAATCATCATCCAAGTCTTTTTCATCTCCTTCATTAATATGTAATACATCCGCTCTTGTATAATCATCGTTATCATCATCATCATCATCATCATTTCTAATAGGTTCTTTTTCCGATGAAATTTGTTTATCTTGATTTTTACCTACTAAAAGATTTCTTGTTTTCATATCAATAACACCCATTAAATCAACTGGTAAAAATTCGGCTCTTGGATTGTGTTTAAAAATAAGTTTCATTGCTAATAATACTCCAACTGATAATACTAACAATATTATACATAATACACCTTGCACAAATCCTCCATTAAGGAACATTAATCCGGTAAGTGTTAATTGAAATATATAAATTCCAGTAAACACTTGATAAATTGCTTTAGGGAATAATAATCCTCCTGTTTGATTTAGTTTATCATAAACATAAAGGAATTGATGCCGATATACAAGGTAGTAAAGTGCAAAATGTAATGTAACAATGGGAAGAATTATTGGTTGTATTGTAGAATATACAATACCTATAGAAGCTATCATAATATGTGGAGGAAACCCTGTTCCCCAATCTTGAAACGGCATCGTTTTTTCCAATTCCCAAATTTTTCTAGGAGTTTTAACAAGAAACTTTTTAAATATAAAATTCATAATTAAGGGTCCAATTTGAAAGATTTCTAAAGCGCAAGCAGTTATTGTAAGAAGAATGTAAGTGAGGAAAAATGTTGAAGCGCGTGGAAGGTTATTTGCTAAAATTTCAATTGATTGTGTTGGATTATTGACAAGTTTTGGTAAAGATTGAAGTATACCATTGGCGAATGTTGTAACTAACAGTACATTCATAACCTAAAAGTAATTTTTTTGTGATTAATTAATTTCTTTTTTAAAGAAACATAAATTTACATATACGTACGAGATGAAAGTAATATTTGCTTTGCAAGCTAAGATCTACTCCTGAATTTGTGACACTTCCTTCGAATCTCGATAAAACTAATAAAATTTTTTCTTTTTAATGAAATTTTCAAATAAATTTCCTAACATAATATTAAGTTACTTACATCTTAAAACTATTACCAATATCATCATCAATATATTTAAGGCTACAGCCGGTAAAATACCCTGAATTATTCCGACAAGTACTTTTAAATTTCCTTCAGCATTATTAAGTCCTTCCAAGAATTTTAAAGGTTTAAGTTTTGCCAATTCGGACAATGTAGATATACCCGCGACGAATGTAACTAAAAAAAAAAAAAATTTTCAATTAAAACTTTACAATTTTTTAAATAAATTTTTTTTTATTTATTTTTTTTTTTTGCATATTACCTGCGGACATCCAAATTATTACAATGCCAATTACAACAGATAAACTTATAACTCTTCTGATCATCTTTTGTTTGCTAGTTAAATTCAAATTTTCCCAAATAATATCATCAGGTGAAATATTAATTAATTTTGGAACTGTTGAAGTAGCAGCTAACTGTGCTCCAACATAATCATTAAATTGTATGAAAGCCGAATTCAATCTTTTAAAGTCATTAGGATTTTTTTGTAATTCTGATATTTGATGATTTATGTCATTTAAATCATTACTATATGTTTCTAAAGAATCAACTTTTTTTCCTATTATTGGTAATTTACTACTATGTTGTGGACGTTTAATATTTGGTGAATTTCCATTTTCAACATTGGATTCCCTAAATTCTGGTTTTGTTGAATCTTTGGCGTATTGGATTATATAATTTGTTGCAGCACCTTCTAAATTATTTACAATTGCCTCTCTTTTAGCTGTGGCTTTTGCTAATTTAGATGGATCCCTATTAAGCCATATACGTTTCACACCACCTGGGAATATGTCGAATAATGCTTTTAATGATTCAGAATTATTTAATTCCTTAGGAATTCCCGTAACTAATATTGTGGTTGCTCGTGGAGAATTACGATATTCATCAGTTGTATGATATTCATGACGTAGACGAATAAATGTGTTAAACTCTCGATATAAAGCGTACATTATGATACCTATTATATAATTACATGTTAGTAAAACTTAAAATAATGTGATAATATTTTAAATGAAAATGTCGTACCACTGAATAACCAAGTAAAAATTACGTGAGACCATAATCTTTTTTCATCACGAATATTACCGATCGTAAATTTTTCCAAACCCTGATTATCACCCTGATTTACGGAATTAATTGGTAATAAAACTGCTAATCCAAATATGCTAAAAATAGCAAACAGGATCATAAACAATTTCATAAATCTCAAAAACATGTATGAATCAAGACCTATTCTTTTTATAACCTCTTCATCAGAAATCTTCAATACCGGTAAAATCCATGCAAAAAGGCCTGGTGGAAGTGGTTCTGACCTATTACTAAAAAAAAAAAATAATAATCATCATTAGTAAGTATATAACAATCTGAGGTGAAAATTATGAGTGCTTTACCTTTCGGGAACCAGATAAGTTCTAGGTTCATAAACCTTTTTATTTCGTTTTCTCAAGATATCAAAAGCAACAAATATTCCTATCGTAACTGCTACATTGAAAACCAAAGATGAAGTAAAAGTTGCAATTGATGAGTCCGTTGATTGTTGTTGACTTGCTAAATCTTGGGACATTTATTTAAAAGGAATTTGAAGAAAAAAGGGAAATAAAAGAATAAATTCAATTAATGAATATATTTATACATTTTTAATAGTCAAGTATCGTAACACCATTTTACCTCTTACATATATTATACATCATAATAATGAAAGTTTGATCATCATTTTTTATCAGCCGACTACGCCCAAAAAGATTCTTTGTATCGATATTGCGGCCATAAACCATTTCCATTAGTTGATTTTAGTTGATCAACTAAAAAAATTTCCCATTCGCTTCTTTTCAATGCTAAACGTTTAAGGATTTAAACTCGATTGAAAGTTCTGTGTATTGTAGTAATTTATTGCCACCTTTACCTAATTAATATTTCATTCACCCCTTTTAATTTTTTTAAATCACAAAATTTCTTTTGTTCACCTGTTGGGTTTGAAAGATTTCCTTTTCCAAGCCGATTAAAATAACTTAATTGATGCATCGAAATGCTGAACCCACGCCGAGAGAATAAATAGAATAATTGCAGTACCGTACTAACATTATTAGACCATCTGTTTTTTTAAAAAAAAATTTCGCTTAAACTTTTTTTATACTTCATGATACTCGTATAAGTTAAGTATAAATATATTTGATTATTGCGCAATTGTTTCCTATTCCTAAAATTTTTAAAACCATAATTGATTTATTTATTTATTTATTTACTTTATTTTTATTTTTTAAGTTATAGAAATTCTCCGTATATGTTACTTATGTTACTTATATTACTCCTCTTGGATGACAATGTTGTAATTTATATGCTTGATGAACTTTATGTTTACACATGTATATTAGATGACTGATTATCACCGGCGCAGAAAATTTAAAAGCGACGTTCTCCTTTGTGTTTCATTTGCCCGATTTATAATGGAACTACGGTAGCACCATTAGTTAAAAGTAAAATGTCATCACAAAACATGTCATATAATTCCTTTTTTTCTTTGAAGGATGCAGTTATGCAAAGATACATCATTGCAGATACGCATATCAAATGACAATAAAAGATGTCCTTTATAATATGTCTGCAGATTTTAAGAAAAAAAAAATTTTTTTTTTCTTGCATAGCATATATTAAATAAATAATATGAAATATAAATATATGGGAAAAAAAAAAAAAAAAAAAATTAAAAAAAAAAAATTTTTTTTTTTCTTCCCATAAAAACTCTTATCATTTCTTTGTGGAATCGGAGATCATACTATTGGAAGAAATTTTATGCATACGCACTACTTTTCTGATTGCAATTTTTTTCTTATCACATATTGTACAACTTAAATTTCTAAAAAAATAAATCAGTCACCATTGTTTCTGAAGATTTATTTAAATTTAGTTAACTTAAATTTTATTAACTTATAAATATTTAACCTGTTCCCATCTTTTTTTTCCCCCCTTATCTTTCATACCGTCTTTCTATTTGATACCCAACCTTAATAACCTTATATATATTATATATTATATATAATTATTGCAAATTTTTTTTAAAAAAAACAATGTTATCGGATTTATCATCAACTTTATTAAAAGATATTCGACAACTTTTTGAAGATGCAGACGATTATAATGTAACAATTCAAGTTGGAGAAGAACCTAATATAGAAGTTTTAAATGCACATTCAGTTATTTTAAGGGCTAGGTCATCATATTTTCGATCAGCATTATCATCAAAATGGGCAAAGAAAAAAGGAGATACATTTACTTATAAAAAACCAAATATATCACCTAAAATATTTAAAGAAATTCTTAGATATATTTATACTGGTACAATTAGTTTAAATGATAAAGCCGAACAAGGGGAATTATTAAAATTATTAGTAGCAGCAGATGAACTTGAATTAGAAGAATTGGTTGAACATATTCAAGAACATATTATTACGAATGAAAGTGAATGGTTAAAAAAAAATATCGTACATGTACAACAAACTGCTTCAAAACATAAAGCTTGTGGTAGATTACATTCTTATTGTGAAAAAAATATAAGTGAAGATGCTTCATTAATCTTTCAATCTGATGATTTTACTTTAATTGAAGAAACTTCTTTAATCGCTTTGTTAAAACGTGATGATTTATCTATGAATGAAATTGAAGTTTGGGATCATGTTATTAAATGGGGTATGGCACAAAATCCAAATCTTTCATCAGATGTTAAAACTTGGTCAAAAGAAGATTTCAATCTAATGGAACAAACTTTAAAAGGATGTATGGCGCATATTAGATTTTTTCAAATTTCTTCTACTGATTATTTTTATAAAGTTAGACCTTTTAAAAAATTATTACCTTCAGATCTTAAAGAAAATCTTAAAGAACATTTTATGGTACCTGGAGTTGAACCAAAATTTGCAGTTTTACCTCCACGTAAAAGTAAGAATAGTAAAAAGGACAAATTACCAGGTTCTAATATTATATCAAGTCAACATGCTTCTCTCATATCAAGTTGGATTGATAGACAAGATTTTAGTTATAATAATGATAATTTTAACATTGATGAAATTCCTTATGAATTTAATTTATTAACTCGTGGTTTTCGTGATAGTCTTACACGTCAAGAATTTCATAATAAATGTAATAATCAAGGTCCTACTCTCGTAATATTAAAAGTTTTGGGTACAGGTCAAATTATTGGTGGTTATAATCCTGTTAATTGGAGTTCATCTGGTAAATGGGTTACTACTAGAGATAGTTTTATTTTTTCTTTAGGAGAAGGGAATGATTTAAAAAGTGAAGCTATTTTAAGTAGAGTTCAAAATCATGAACAAGCTATTCGTGATTGTGCTATCAGTTATGAATGTGTTGGATTCGGATGTGGCGATTTACGTAAGTTACAAGTGTTATAGGTGCCTATGTAAATTTACGCAAATTGCAAGCTAATAAATGTTTTTATCTATTTTTCTTTTACAGACATAATTGAAGGAACAAGTACAAGAAAAGATTATGACCGAGATATAATTGATATTTCAACTTTTGTAGTGGATGATTATGAAGTATTTCAAGTTAAAAAGAAAATTTAATAAGCACCTTTCCTTTTTTTTGATCCAAGAATTTTCAAGCGAACCTCTTTTTTGACGAGGATTTTGAACGAAAAGTTTGAAATGGAACTTAATTTCGATAACTTTTTTTTTTCTTTAAAAAAAAAAAAAGTTCTTTAATTTACGCATCTTTATAACCAAATAATATATTTTTGATATAAGATTATCTTTTATTATTATTTTAAGAAATATGAGAATTAAGACATATATATGAAATGTATGAAAGTATACTATATTTATTGTAATAACCACCATAATTTTATAATATATAAATTATTTTACTATTAATAAACAATTCTTTATGAATTATTATTTGAATTAAATTATTACTGGTTTTATCATATTGAAATTAGATATTTAGATTATCATTATCTGTGAATTTTTTTATTTTAAATATGCATGATGGCGGATAAAGCGATATGCTATAGTAAATATAGAAATCATTTACGAATTACAGCCTCCCGAGGGAATTGGATATCAAGAATTTTCTATCTTTTATCTTTTTGAAATTCTAAATTGTTTACGGGTAAATTTTACTCTTATTTTTTATTATAACATTGTACTGTAATCAATTCTTAATCTATTAATCTATACATAAAAAAAAAAAAAAAAAAATACAGAAATTTTTCCAAGCATTTACATATGTACAATTTTTAAGGAAAAAAATATTTTTTTTTAACAAGATAATTTTTTTTCTTTTTTAAAAATGNTTCTAAAGATCGTTACACAACTGAATAATTTTTTTTGATGAACGTTAAAGTCACGTTTTTTATATAGTTACAAAAAAAAAAAAAATTGTATAATAAAGTTCAAAAGTTTTGCGAACTCCTGAAAAAAAATTTGCGGAATTATTTATGATTGGACGAAACTTTAACAAGTTTTTCGAAGCAATTTGATAACTTTATGTGATCATCCTTGAAATTTATCATTAGACGAAAATGGGAAACGAAAAATGGATGCAACCACATACTTTTTACGTAATCGTTTAAATCGAATCAATTAATACAAGATATACAAAAAAGAAATCACATACTAATAATTACATCTCATTGGTATTTGAATGTGCACTAACACAATTTGTACAAGTTTATTGGTATATATTTATTTTTTACAGCATGTAAAGTTCTTTTTTTCTTTATTAAATTCCGCTACTCTATAACGGGTTCGTTATCAAATTATTTACGCATATATATATTATATATATATATATTATTTTTTTTTTTTTTTTTTTTAAAAAAAAAAATATCTTTATACAGAAATTTTTCCAAGCATTTACATATGTACAATTTTTAAGGAAAAAAATATTTTTTTTTAACAAGATAATTTTTTTTCTTTTTTAAAAATGGTGAAATTGAGGATTACCAAAACAATGCGGAGATACCATTTGAGGTGGTAACATCTGAGATTGTGACAACATTTGTGGAGCTCCTGTCATCAAATGAGAAGGAATAATTTGTTGTTGTGGTGAAATAATTTGTCGGGTAATTCTTGGTACAAAAGATTGATGATGAAACAATTGTTGAGCAGGTGGAGTTGTAATCATAAATTGTGATCTATTCATCATATGTGGAATTATTTGATGAAATTGAGGCTGAGGGTTTGTTAATCCCATTGACGGGATCGTTGGAGTTGATACCATGTTTACCATTGGACTCACAGATGTCATGGGCGCCATGGAAGCCATTGTCGGGATGTCTAATATAAAAAAGATAGTATAAATTTAATATTTAATATTAAAATATAAAAATATAAAAAAAAAAATAAATATAAAGATATATACTCATGGGACTCATGGGAGCAGTTGTTAATTGTGGCTGCCTTATAAATATCCGTTTTTGCTGTGTTGGAGCTTGTGGCATATAATTCGGGTTCATTGATTGTGTAAAACTTTCTTCAAATTTTGCGATTTGTTCACTTTGTTCTTCTTGTTTATGAATCAATATTTCTTGCATAAATCTACTTGCAAATTCTTCATTTTGATCGACCCAACCTTGTTTTTCATCATCTCTGATATTATTATATTCACAGTTTGCCTTTATAACATCATTTATCCAATAAAATTGAGATGCATCACGGAATATATGTGGAAGAGTTTTAAAAATTGCATTTGGAATATTATGATCGATATAAAGTTTGTCTCGACTATAATATATATAATAAAATATGAGTATTAAAATTAGTAAATTACAATAATAATTAGAATAATTACAACAAAAAAAAAAATAATCGAATGATCAAAATTACCTCATCGTATGATCATCGAGACATAAATCACAACAACGTACTCTAAATTCCCAATATACTTTAACGTAACCTTTTTCATTACAAAATTGACAACCTTTATCCAATTGTTTTAAAACGATATAACTTTTTTCATCCATATTATGAGGAGGAGGAGATTGAAGGAATCTCATAAATCTCATTCTTGAATTTCTCCAAATTGCTTGAGTTTCTTTAGAACCAGGACTACATAATAAACCTTTTAATTTCTTACAAACTAAAGTAAGTGAAAATAAATCACTTGGAGGTAAATTAGCACATATTTGAACAAATATTTCATTAGGAATATCCGTTAAATTTTTTTTAGAAATTGATGTTTCCAAAGTTAATCGAGTTGGAATGTGAAGATCATCATTGGATGATGATGTATATTGTGAAATTTCTGCGGTAGGTAATTCTAAATTTTTTGGCAATGATACAGGAGAAGCAGTGATAGGTTCTTGTTTTACAATAGCATCAGTTGTAGTTGGTGATGATGTTGTTGATGTTGATGCTTTTCTTTTATTACTTTTCGTACTTGATTTGCTACTTCCTTTACGTTTACGTCTAAAAAAAAAAAGAAGGAAAAAAGAAAGAAAAGAAATCACGGAAAAAAAGTGTAAATCATGGGAAATTTGATAAAATTAAAAAAGGCGTAAAATATACAGAAAAAATTATAAATTACCCTCGAGAAACAGTATTATTTGGTTCACCCATTTTTATATATTTATATATATATATATATATATAAGAATATGTAAATGATTTAAATTTAATGAAGTATTATTAGATAAAAATATTTTATTTGTAAAGAAATAAAAAAAAAAAGAACGAAAACAAAAAAAAGAAAAATGGTCACTTTTTATATTGACTTTTTTTAATCGAAAAAAAACAATAAGCAATAAAAACTTGTTTAATCAGGGTAGTAAAAAAAAAGTTAATCTTGTTTTATGTAAGTTAACGTTCAGTGCAGAAACGTGTTTGTACATTGGCAAAAAAAAAAAAATATACACTCCGTAATGAGAAAAAAGACTTACACAAATAGGATATGCAATAAGTCAAATGATTACCAGACAAAATTGTTTGGAACTCCGATTGGGTTAAATTTGTTAGTTGATCTGCGTGAAACTATGCAATCAAATGTATGTTGATGAGAAAGAAAAAAAAAAAAATTTTTGTGTGTGTTTCGTTATTAATAAAAAAAATTACGTGTTTGGATTCAAGATAACAAGATTTTTTTTTAAAAAAAAATGATTTTGTAATAAAATTCTTGAATAGGAATCAAGCTTTTTTGTACTATTGTACTATTTAATAGGTAACTCAATATAAACATTAATTAAAGAAAATTCAACTGTTGATCTATTAGCCAATCACAAAAATTCTTTTCAGATTAGACTTTAACCTGAAATAGTACGATTACAATAGTGTGAGACAGAAAAGCAATTTTTTAGTCGGGGGAACCGAACCGGCAAAAACATTATTTAAGTAATTGTTTGTTTATCGTTTTAAATTTAAACCAATGGGGGAGATAAAGGGAAAAAAAGGAGATTGTTTACTTGAAAGAAAAGTAAAATCTTTTTATCTATTTTTCTTAAAAATAATAATAAAAATATTTATAATCAAGAAAGAAAAGTAATATGTAATATATGTAAAAGATGCAAAGTAACTGCAAAATAATTCAGTGAAACAAAGTAACGTATTGCAGTAGTAGTACATGTTTGATATGTCGTGTTACCAAGCAATCACCTAAAAGCAAAATGGCGCCTAACTTTCAGTGATTATTCAAAACAATTACTTTAGATTCAATGATTATCCCCAACATTTTCCTTGTGAACAGCAACTTAAACATCTAAAGCCACGATCATAACCGACCGCCATTTTTTTCATAGTTTAATGAAAAAGAAAATATACTATCATCATCATCATCATCATCATCATATACAAATAAATTTCGTTATCATAATTTTTTTTCTTTTTTAATTTTCTCACGCCAGATTTCTAAAATAGGGGGCTGTCATTTTGGTACTTCTTTTGATATTCAATTCCGAGAAGAATATTCTTGTATTTAAACATAGCCAATTATTTTGGCTTAGAATCGGAATTGTATATTCTCTCCGAAATCCCGAAATTACTGGATCTGGAAAAAATTATTTTATTCTGGAATTATTCTAATAATTCCCAAAATTATTCTAATTATTCCGATTATTCCAAATTTATTCCAACTTTTTTTGATACAAATAATATTTTTCTTGGCGTACGTTAAAAACGAATTACATGAATCAACCTAAATGTGTAACTTTATATACCTTTCCATTGTCAATGATAAATAAATAATAAAATTATTATTGCGTACTTTTGGTCATTTGATCTATTAATTAATTAAAGTTATAATTTACACTTTTTAGTAGGATGTTGTGTTCAAAAAACTTTATTCTAATATAATTCTTATCAGATCTTCTTATTAATAATAAACAAAGAAATATTTAAAATACGGAATATTTATATATACATATACAGTACATATATATACATATTTATATAATTTATTATGATATGCAAAAGCAATAACATGCAATATTTGCATTAATTTTCCCCATACATGACTCATAAGAGCCATAGCCACATCTTTGTGAAATTATGCACAACATCTTTTCATATGAAAATATAAAAAACGGATCTTAATATAATTTAAAATTTATAATTGGTTTCTATTTTTATTCTTTTTATTGGTTGATTTCGCATGATTATTTATATATTTATTTATTTTAAAAAAGTTTTCTTCATTAATAATTTTACTTTTGTAATAGAATTTCTTTCTGTTTTGCATAAATGTATTACTGATCTCTTTAAATTTGCCTTTTTAGGTTCTCCCATTACACGTGTTAAATGCACGTGATTCGGTTTATCTTCTTAGCCGTCCCCCTAATAAAGTTAATTTCTTCTATATCAAGTTTGAAATGGTTCTTTTGAATTTTAATCTCTCCTTTTATGTTATATTGATTTAAATCGTATCACTGTTATACAACGTCTCAGAATTATCAAACTAGTTACATTACTGATATGACGACATATATGTTGCGGCACAGTAAACAATGTAAATCATCCAATAATTGTCCTTTAATTTTATATTTATTTTTTTTCTTTGTTACTTTTATTACACATACAGATAATTTATTATCTCTAAAACCGTCAATAAAGTTTTTTATGTATAATATTTAAATTTTTTGTGATATGTACAAATTAAAAACAAATTATATATTTGTTATAGATGAAAAAAAAGTTTTTAATTCTGAAACATCATTAATCTTTTATATAAGTTTATATGAGTATAATATAATCTTTTCTGACATAATCCACTTTTTTTAAAAAAATATTTGTCTTAAATTGATTTGATAAATAGTACAAAAAATTTGTCCTGTTATGATTTGATATAACAAAATTTTTAATCATTATTATATAATATATATTTTCTATGATGGATTTCAATTATGCATGCATTAAAAATCTGCATTACATATTGTTATCTTTTAGGTAATACATTTAATATTAATTGCAAATGATATTAATAATATTAAATAATTTTTTTTTTTTAAATGATTAAAATTCTGATATTTATTTTAAATAAATATATTAAATAAAAAAATTTACTTTGAATTTTTGAATAAGTAAAATTCATGTCTTAATTTTTATTTTAATTAAAAGCTATTTTTAGCTTTAATTATATATTCTGATTCTATTACTTTTATACATATTTACATTATTGATAATTAAAGGACTATTGATTCTATTATAAAATGTCTTAATACTACCAAACAAGTTTAAAAATAATATTAGTATTGCAAAAATAAATTCTAAATAGTTTTTAATATATTTATATAAGTAAAAGAATATAGTAAAAACATATAAATAATCAAATAAATAGTTTAATTTAAATAATTATTAATATCTTTACTCTTTAATTATAAAAATAGAATTTGAAATTTATATTTATAATAATTGCCTTATTAAATAAAATATGTATTAACCAATTTCTTAATTTTAAAATATACAGAAAATAGTCAAAATTAAAAGTCAATATAGAAAGTCTTTATTGATTTAATAATTCTAATTTTAATTAAAATACTACATAAATAATTTTTAACAAATATTTCAAATGTATTTTCTTAAAATTATTTTTTTTTATTAAATTATTAATTATATCATATAATACTTTTTTAACTGCTATAATATCTATATAAACCCCTAGTCTGAAGTTTCAATCTGACAGTACATACATGGTTGCTTTGATATAAGTGGACAGGTAGTTCAGTTCTTAATAATATTAGAAATTAAAATTTTGTTGTTCGTCTCAATGTACTTAATTTAAAAAAATTTTCAATAAAATTCTGATTGTACTGCAGCCAAAAAAAAATAATAACTATATAAAAGTTTTTGAAAAGTACTTTAAAAATATATTGATTCAAAGTATTTTTAACTTATAAGTTAGTTTGTAAAAAGTCTTACTTATTACCATTATAAAAAATTAGATAAACTAATATTTATATTAGATCTTTTATAATTTGCAATAAATAATAAATATAATTTGAAAGTTTATTGTTATTTTCTATTAACCTATAATACAAGTCTAATAGTATTTAAATATAATCATCTAATATTCTTTTCTATAAAAATATATTAGATATATAAGTTTATTACAGCTTGTAATTTCTATATCATTAATAAAATTATAAATAATTCTAATAGTATTATTACTTTTACATTTATAAGAAATATATTAAAAACTAGCTTATTTTTAAAATAAGTTATTTTATCAAATTAATATTATTATATAATATATATAATATAATTTTATTAATTAATTTCTTATATATAATTTTACATTATAATGCAAATTTCTATTTGATATTTAATTTTTACTATTATATATTTAAAGTTTAAAAATACTATATAATAATAGAAAATTTTAAAGTTTACACGAAATGTTTGAACATGGGTCATGTAAAATATAATGACACCAATGTCACACCCTTTTACTTTTTTATATAATATATGTATTTTTAACTGCTCTGTAAGTTTATTTAAGGCATCAAAAAGGGTTTTAAATGCCATTTTTGACTTATATATGAAAAACTGTCTTTGCTGCTTATTTTCTAAATTTTTTTAAGAGTGATCGGCAAAATCAATTATTCATAAGTAAAGTCAAACTGACATTCAAAAGCACCTTTAATGCCTTATATAAACTTGTAGAGCAGGCGAAAATCCATTTATACTATTAGTCAAAATGGCAATAATCACATAACCTGGATTCAAACATTCCGTATTTAAATAGAAATTGCTATAATAATATTATAAAAATATTTTTTAACATTTTTGTATTTTTTATTTATTTAATATAAATAATATTTAATACATTTTTTATTTACTATTTATTATTTATAAAATGAATTATTTTTATTTTTTAATATTACTTCAAATACATTACCTTTTACTGGCATATTTTTTAATATTATTTGACAGTTAAAATTTATATCTTTATAAATAATTTGATATAACAAGAGATGAAAATATAACAAATATTTATTTAATAAAAGAAAATTAGTTGTATTTGATTTTTATATTAAAATAAGAAAAAAATATAAAACTCTTAATATAAAAATATATGGATTTGATCTTAAATCAATAAAAGTAAATATTAATATTGCAATTAATAAATTCCAACAAGCTGAAACTTTTTCATATACTATTTTAATATTTAAATCAAGTGATTTATTATATATTGAGAAAGAAACTTATCAATATATAAGTAAGTATATTGTTATTTATTAGCTATTTTGATGCATCTGATAAATCATTTTTCTTTTAAAATGGGTTTTATTAAAATTCTACTTACTTATAATAAAGGTTATTATAAAAAATTAGCCAATTTTTACTTTATTTTTTTCTTAAATTCTATTGGTTAATTAGTTAAAAAGGAAATTAATTATAATAATATAACATAAAATTTTCTTTTATAATAGAATCTGCAAAGAATTTTATATATGATTTTTACTTTAAGTCTAAAGGTGATCTATCTTATAAGTAAGTAGAATTCTATTTTATTGTTTCAATTCTGAGTAGTTTTTATATTGCAATTTATGAAATTTATGTTTTATGTTTTAAGTAAAATTGATTAAATTAGAAGATACTTCAGTAAACAATATAGTATGTAATAATTCATTATTATTTTATTTTTATTTTAATTGCAAGGGTTTTATATAAAGTATAAATGTTGTTAGAATATTTGCAAAGAATTTAAAGAAATAATTTATTTTCAATATCTTTAATTTAACAATAAATTTGTTAAAAATATTAAAGAAAAAAAGTATTTATATTTTTAATGTTTCAAATATCAGACTTTAAAACTGATTTTTCTAAATTTTCTTTTAAACTTCTTAAATGTTTCTAGTTAAATGAAATTTTAAAAATAAACCTTTGAAATTATTTCAAATAACTGCTTAAATGAAACTTACTGACATATTTAATATTTACTTGTTCATATAATAAAAATAAATTTTATTAAATAAATAAAATAAATAAAGTACATAAAAATAAAATAATTCTCTATTTTCTATTTTCTTTAAATTGTTATTTTTTATTTTTAAATTTCAAATTGATTTTTCTTTAGTTCCTCTAATTTAAGCTGAAATTTTTCAAATTCATCCAACATTTTTTCAACTTGTCCAATTGATTTTTTATTTTCTAACACTTTTTTAGTTTTTTCAAATTTATCTTCCAATATCTTTTTAACTTTTTCAATTCCATTAATTGATATTTTATGAAATTCATCTTTTAACATTTCTCTAAATTTTTCAATTTCATCAATTTGTTTTTCATCTTTAAATTTCTTAATCAAAGTTTCAATTTTGTTACTAAAGTTATTTTTAAAATTTTCAGTGCTCATTCTAATAATATTACTATAGTTATTATATTTCCAAATTGAATATTGATCATAATCACTTATCTTAAATTTTTCAAAATCAAATTCTTTTGTATTATCATAAATAACACTTTTACTATCATCTTTTCTTATATTATACCATTTTTCATAACTTTCAGGAAGACCATGATAAAATATATATTTTGGTTGAGATTCAGGATTTGAAAACAAATGAACATGATTTAATGCTTCATAATCTGCTATGCGATTTGCCTTATATTTTAGTAAAATTTGTCTACTTTTCTCTTTTACAGCTTCATATTCATCACTAAAAAATTAACAATTAAATAAGAAAAAATATTATAAATTATATTTACAAACTGGAAAAAAAAAACTTACCTCATAAAAGCAATTAACATGTTTTGCAAAACTATTACAAGAAATATACTTGCAATAAAAGTATATAAATCAACAACCCAAAAATCAAATTCATCTCTTTGAATCCAATTACCATTAATCCAAAAATATGCAGCCAATATTGATTTAGAAAATGTTGTAAATGGATTATCACTAGAATTGAGATCAAAATCTTGTTTAAGTTCAATATTAAATAAAATCTCATTTGTTAAAGAATTTGTAGCACTTCCACTATATGTAGAATTATTGGTTTTAATATCTACTGGATTTCTGAGTAATACAAACCTATATAGTAAAATTAAATAAGAAAATTAATCATATTAAAATTTAAAAAGAAATAAAATAATCAGTTACCATACATTGTATGTGCAAATGCTAATATTACAATAAATGTCAACAAAAAAAATGGAATTAAAGATTTGAAAATAATTGCGAAATGATAAATAAAAACACCAATATCTGTCAATAAAAAAATAAGTAAATTAATAATAGTAATTATCATTAAAAAAAGAAAAAATATTAATTTATATTTTTACATGGTAATAAGCGGAGATAGATAATCTAAAATTATCAAAATTGAGTTAATAATTTTATATAATAATTTAAAAATAATTAAAATTACTTACAAATTCAATCCAAATCAAGAAAATTGAGAATGATATCCCTATAGTTAATTCAATATTATTTTCTGTACTTTTAAAACCATCAGAAAATTGAAAATTTTTAACTACTATTATTGATATTATTATTACAGCAAATATAACTGAAATTACGTCAAAAATATTACATAAATTAAAAAAATATTTTTTAGATCCTTTATAAAAAAGTTGTAATATTTCAGTAAAAAATAGATAAAATGCCAAATAATAAAATAAAATAATTATTATAAATAAAAATTGGTGATTAATAATAGTACTATGATTCAAATATGCCCAACTAATTAATCCAAAACAAATAGCAAAAATAAGAAATGGAAGAAAAAGAGAAAAAAAGTAATATGATCTTGCTCTTCTCCAATGAAAATCAATAACTGCTTCAATTGCTAGATTATTATAAATATCATGATTTTCAAATAGCAACATTCTAGAAAAAGGGCTTAATTCATTTTCTTTATTAGTAATTTTATACCATCGTGGTATTAATAAAAATAAAATACTTTTAACCTTTTTTTAAAAAATTCATTTCTTTTTTCTCCTTAATATTATTTATAATAAAATTGGGAAGAGGAACTATTCGTAATAATGGTGATTCTATAAGCTTTGATTTTTTATTTTTGAAAAATTCAGTTTTCAACTTATCTATTTCAAATGATCTAAATTCATTATTATGACTTGTTAAGAAATTACTTATTCGACTTTTAATAAATGTTAAAAAATTTACTGAAATTTCAACAGAATTATGAGTATGTCCTGCAAAACATTCTTTAAGAAATAACTTTTTTATATAATCGTCTATATTACATATAAAAAATTATTAACTTTTACAAATTATTTTTGAATATGAATAAAATTAGAATTAAAAAAAAAACAAACCATAATTATATTCAAATAATAAAGGAATTGCTTTAGAAACAGTGCACATCCAACCTGCATCATCCATTGCATGATTAGAATAATATTCTAAAAGACAAGCAACAATAGTTGTATCTTTTCCTGTAATAAAATAAAGTTGTAATAAATAATGATATTCATATTATAAATAAATAATTTTAGACATTTACCTTTATAATGATAAATTGCCAATTCCATGTTATTTTGTAATTCATTACTAATATCTTTTGACTCATTTTTTCTTTTATCAAAATTTAAATCATCATCTTTCAAAAACTTTTTTCCTGGCCATAATTTATTACTTGGTATATGTCCAATTTCCTTATTTTTATTTTTATAGATTTTATCATCTCCAAATAATATAAATTTTATTAAATTATCACAATCACCAAGTATTAAATTTTTCATAATATTGTATCGAACATCTAATAATTTAAAGTTTTGTGGCTCATATTTAACAAATTTCCATACTATATGTTTAATATAAGTAATCATTTCCTCATACTTTTATAATAAAAAATAAAATTAGTTAACTTTCTAAAAATAAATAAAATTTAAAATTTAAATAACTTACATTACGTACTCTGATATAATTATCTACAAAGTCTTTATTAATATAACGTTTATTAAAATGTTCTAATGCTTTACATGCATGCTTTACTATATAAAATTTTTCAATAATATCTTTTCGTTGAATTACTTTTTTATATTTTTTATTTTCAATTTTATCTATTTCATTATCTTCTTCTTCTATTATATGATTTATATTTTGCTCTGTCTTTATTGTATTAGAACACTCCTTATTTCTTTTATACCAACAAACCTCTAAATAAAAATCTTTTATTTTAATATTTGATTTATTATTTGATTCACATTCATACATTTCAAATTTTTTAATTTGTAATTTTGTTGCTTTTTTTTCTTGATATACTGGAATATGATTTGTCCATATAAATTCAAGAAATGGTTCTCCTTTGTTAGGATTATCTTCATTTTTAATTTGATGCCAAATTTGAACAGTTGATCTGCCAACAATAAGTTGTAAAGTTTCTGCTTCTTTGTCATTTTGATAAAGATTATAACATTTATTACTACTTTCATCATTTTCATCTAATACCCACGGTTCCATTTCACTAATACTAACTATTGGTTCAACTGAATAAATTTTCACTTTTTTCTTTTTATCTTCTTGCTTTTTTTGTTTTAGCATTTCTTCAACTTTTTTAACAACTGATAAAACTTTTCCATCATCATCAATTTGTAAAACATTTCCTGAAGTACTAGCTAAATGCTTTACAATATCTGCATTAGTAATTATTGGCAAATAAATGAAATCATCTATTATAGGTCTTTCAGTTTTATACAAATCCCAAACTATAAACTTAAACTTGCACTTTTTTTCATTTTTTTCTGAGTTTTGATTTTTATCTATTATCTTTTCTTCATTTTTTAAGCTTCCTATTATAAGTAATTTTTTATCACAATCAATAAATTCTAGTAAATGTATTTTCTCTATTTCATAAAATTTCTTTGATACGACTTGTAAACCATTTTCCATACAATATAACCTACAAATATAAATAAATAATGTGAATGAAATTCTATACATTATTTAAAGAAATAATAAATGACTTATTACATAAATACTTACTTAATAGTATTATTTCCTTGAGTAAAGCAAAAATGCAATTTACCAATTGTAAATCTGTTAAAGATATTATAGTCGTGTTTCTTTACAAAATTATATAATTCATCCTCTTTTCTAATTCTTTTTGCAGTAGTTACTAATTCCATTTTTTCGAAATTATAAACTAAAAATAAAATTTAATGTTAATATATTTTAATATAATTAAGATTTATATTTACAAAAAAAATTTACCTTCGAATGATTCAATATCTTTTTTGTATAATGTGACCAAAAAATAATTATCATAGATACACGAAAGAAGTCGTCTCATGCAACCTTCATTTCTATCCGTATACTAATAATTCAATCTACATTTTAAACTTTCTGGATATTCAAATTTCTCATCCATTTTAAAAGAATCATAATTATCACTAAATTTAAAATTATATATCCCATGAGTATTCAAAACTATAAATCTTTTCAATTTATTATCTTTGTCACGTGATTTGTCTACATCAGCTTCTTCAGCTTTTGGAACATTATCTTCCTTTCCTTTTTCTTTTCCCTTACTTCCCTTCTCATCTTCCTTTTCTTCACTTGAATCTTCTATGAATCTACATATTCCTGAAATGTTATAAGAATAATAACAAGTCACAGCTTTAAGAGAATAATTTTTCTCATTTCCCTTTTCTTCTTCCGCATTTCCTTTTTCTTCTTCCTCATTTTCCTTTTCTTCTTTTTCATACTCTCCGTTTTCATACTTCCCGTTTTCATACTCTCCGTTTTCATACTCTCCGTTTTCATACTCTCCGTTTTCGTACTCTCCGTTTTCTTTATCTTCATTTAGTTCAATACGATAAATAGCAATTCCTTTTTTATTTTTTTCATTTTTTTCTTTTTCATTTTCATCATTTTTTTCTTTATTTTCATCATCTTTTCCTTTATTTTCATCATTTTGTGACTCATTATCAATGTCAAGATGAACATCATTTTGTAATTCATTGTCGTCATTTTGTTTGGATATATCATCACTTTTAGTTCTTGGTTGTATATTATATTCATGTTTCCTAAGTTTCTCTCTTTTATAATCGGGTTTGCTACCCTCCTTCATATCATCATCGGGTTTGTTACCCTCCTTCATATCATCATCAAAGTTTATTCGTGACATTGTAACAAAAACAAATAGTTGACCATTATTTTTGTACATATTTGATACATCATAAGACCATCTAAATAAATCATCCGGTTTATTTTTATTTCTGTCTAAAAAAGCTGGTGTTGAACGAGGATCATATAACTTTTCAACAATAAAATTATCATTTATTTTAAAATAAGCAACGGGTTTATCAATTTCTACGGATCCGGTGTTGTGCAATACTTTGATCAGAAGGTTTGCTATTTATTATTATTATTTAATATTAATATAAAAAAAAAAAAGGTAAAAAAATTTGTCAATACCATACCCTGTTTAAAATCGCATAAATTGCTTACTATAACGAAATTCATTAGTTGTTTTTACCTATATCGAATGTAGCGACAAATTTTCCATCTTGACTAATTTTAATCCGATAATCTTCTTTCTTTTCAATAGTAATATTGTTTTCGTAATGTAAATCTCGTGGAACCGAGTCTTTTTGCTTAAAGTAGTTTCCAAATTTTTCAAATACTTCCATGCTGTTTAAAAAGTCTTTTCAAAAATATATACGTACAGTATTTATTTAAGAAAAAGCGAGATCCGTGAAAGTGCCCAATTTATTTTTAAAAAAAAAGCGCTAATATTATTTATTGATTATATTTTTTTATTGAAAATTCTAAATTAAGAAATTAAGAAATCTTGTGAAGCAGAACCTGAGAAAGATTTCCTAAACAAATTAAGAGTTATTCAACTGATCATAATGCAATAAATAAAACTGAATTTGAGGCTGAAACCCATTATCGACACCTAGACAATTTTGGTGAGCTCAATAAAAAAAATAATCCTGCACGAATATTCCACAAAATGTTTCAGTGTCGATTAGTATGAAATCAAAAGGTTACGTATAAAATTCTATAATTTGTCATTTTTTTAACAAACATTCACGTTTATGTGCATATGCACGTCTTCACTAATTTAGAGTTTTAAACGAAAAATTGATCGTCGAAATTGCGTACCGCATTTTTTTTTTTTGATTTGAAATCGTGACACAACAGACACAACAGACAAAACAGCTATTAAAAAATTGATTTGATTTCAAAAAGATTACATTCAATACAAATTTCGTTGAAATTTACTGCGTGTTCATATACAATAAGAAAAGGTCAATTCTAACAGTATTTCGACGATGCTTATTCGAAGTGTTTTATAAGGTGTTATGATCGACATAAAATGTGCCCCTTCGATTATTAAACCTGAGAAGAACCCATTAAATATGAAAACGTATCCTACCATAGAAAAATTAGTTTACTGTATTTATAATAAAGAAATTTTCAGTCATCGGAAATGTCACATGCAGATCATTACATCAACGGTTAAAAAACTGGCCATGGACTGATCTTTGTCTTGAAGCCAAAACTTGCGAAATTCGAAATTGTTACTTGCCATTTAAGCATAAACACAACGCTTGTAATAGGTGTGAAACAATTTATAATAATAATGCAATTTCGAGCATGAATAATGATAAAATTTTGAACACGAAAAATAGTAATGATCATAAAAATTCCAAAAAAAAAAAAATAAATCGAGATCGCAAAAATAGAATTATAAAAACTGACATAAAGTACGAATTATCTAACGTAAAATACCAACAATAATAGAACATTTCTTAAGCTTGAAACTATGATGATTACTTTGGAAACTAAATAATTTAATAAAATACATGCTTTTGCTACAAAACTTAAATTCCCCATTATCGATAAATGTATTTATATAAAATTGATTAAATAAAGCACTTAAAATGTGAATCTTTTCTCCTCGGCGATTTGTGCGTAATTTATAAAATATAAATAGGGATGATTTCGTAATAAATTATTATAATACTATTAAACACTATGCAAACGAAATTACTGAAGCTTGCATTCAATACAGTCTTAAAATAATGGATTGCAGTACCAGTGTCGCTACTTTTCAGAATTTCAAAACAAGGAATATGATAAAGGGTGGATTCAGAAAGTGCTCGATAACAATAAAAAGCGTAACGATTATGATAGATTTAGAAACAGTAGATTATCATTAAGTTTACAATTTTACCAAGTTAGATTTTGACGATGTTATCGATATATGTCAGACCAATTATAATACCCGATCTTTCTTATACTCCATGAATATCGTTCTTTTTACTTCATTGTTCAGCGCTTGATTTACCAACTGATTTACCTATTTGCTACTGTTTGGTCAATTGAAATAATTGCTTCAAGACTTTTGGCACATCTATTCTACTCTCGAACAGTACTAAAAGTTTTTGATACGAGTTGAGTAAATTTACACGTTAACTGACGTGAGTTGCGGGGTGACTAAGGAATAAGGATGGGTTATTTACTGGGTTATTTAATTGGCCGTTAAATATGCTAATCATTACTTTAATGAACCATTAAAAACCAAAGAATCATCATAATCTTGATCGTTTTGGAATTTTTGATCAGGTTTTGAATTGATAAATTATTGGCTGATGAAATTGTGTGACCTGATCAACAACCTGAACTTTCCGAACAAAAATGTGGCACTTTTTTTTAACGTGTCTGATGTCTAATAAAGTCGCCAACGAAAAATATTTTATTATATGAAAAATAATTAACCATTCAATAAGCAAAGTACTTAATGAATTTTGGATCAAAAAACCTGAACAATCAGAATTGAACAGGCTTATTGACTCAATACCGATGGTCCAATACATCTTTTGGTATAATTTTGCTTAACCCCCCATCCCCTCTTATTTATTTATTTCTAAAGTGGTTTTTAATTTTATATTATTACATGAGAAAGAAAAAGCTTTTTATTAATTTATTTAATCGAAAATATTATTATTGTAGAAAATGATGACAAGAGTCAATATAATATTGAATCAACAAATTCTGAAAATTTAGAATGAGAAATTTCCTTCGAATATATGAAGAATAATATGGGAGACTCTGACATAATCATAATTTGTATCTTTCTTAAAATCTGTTTTTTTTTAATAAATACTTTATGAATTATCTTTATTTAAAGATTGAACCTTAATACTACCTTAATACTACTTTTATAAGTGTGCGAAGTTTATCGTGTGAAAATCTTTACCACTATATTAAAGATAATTCTGAAATAAATTTAAAAAGGAATATTAACAGGAAGTTTTTTAAATTCAGATACATGATTATATTTAGAGTGAAATAATAATAATGAATAATAATAATAATTATCATAAACATTTTTGGTGAATTGTTCCAGAATTTCATTTTTTATGATAAGATTCCGCAGTTTTGATAGTTTTGATCAAAAAGCTTCTTTTTGATTTATTATGGCTTTTGAAATTTGGAAAAATTTGTAGGTGCAGCTTTCTGAATTCAGAATACAATTTTCTAAATTTATATTTTTCATGTTCATTTGCTCCTTTCCAATAAAAGAGGCCAATTTACTTTGTTCTTTTCCATCATTAATTTTAATCCTTTTATCCTTTACTACTAATAAGATTACTTGCAAAACTAAGGAGTTTTGGTGGAATGGTGTATGCGAAACTGCTGAAACTTAGTTTCAGCATCATATAGTTTCGACATGTTGGATTTTTTTTAATATAGGTTTATTTTTTAACTTTATAAATTATAATAATATAATTATATAAATTCATTCTTTTATTATCAAAAATTAATAACAAATAACATTATCAAAAAGAGTTTTGCTAACTTGCCCCCTGGGTTAAATAACCCAGGTTATAAAAATTTATATTTTACATAGTTTTTTTGCCAAACACTTTTATTCGCAAATTTTTTTTTGTATTATAATGGTTTAAAAACATTTAATTAAAGTTTATTAATTAGAAAAAACTATCAAATTCATACTTTATTTATTTTTAACAGGACTAGTAATTATGGTACACAAAAAAATACATGATAATAACAAAGTAAACAAAAAAAACAAAACTATAAAGAAAAAGAATGAAACTCATGAAGAAAGTTAAAGAATGAAATAATAATAAAATCTATAAAGTCAAAAAGTAAAATTTGTGACATTGAAAAGTAAAACATGTTAAGTTAAAAAGCAGCATAGAGTAAAGAAAATATAGTTAGTAAAGAATAAAAATTAGAAATAAAACAAGAACCTATAGGCTAAAGTATAAGGGTTTTTTTTTCTTTTTTCTTTGTGATAGGTATTTTTTTTTTTATTTTTAAATTAAAGAGTGAACCCATAAAAAAAGTTAATGACCAAATAAAAGTAAATTAAGAGCAAAATACATTATATAATGTTGAAGAGAAAGGAATTAAAGAATAGCATAAAGAAAAGAAAATATAGTTAGTAAAAAACAAAATTAAAAAATAAAACTAATAAAAAAGGGAACATATCTTTTTAATGTGTTAAGATATAATACTGTATTAAAAATTGTAAAACTCAAAGGAATGGAAAAAAGAAGGAAAATAAAATGAAATAAAAAGAAAGGAAAAAATAAGGGAAAGAAAAAACAAAAAAAAAATAATATAAATAAATTATAAATCAAATTTATCATATGATGGGATGAATAATTCATATAATTATATAAAATTTACTAATAAATTAAATCATCTGAGTTAAATCACTCTGGATTAAAATTAGTCTTATACTATCAAAAATATCAAAAATAATAAACATAATAAAATTGAATTAAAAAAAAATATAAATTTATATGTTCAGTTTACACTTTACAATTTCGTTTTCTTTTATCTCTTGATTTTCTTTTATCTTTTGATTTTGATTGATTTCAAAAATTACATTTTCTTTTTCTTTTTAAAAACTGAAATTTATAATGGTATTTATATTTCATGCTGATGGTGAATGGCAATCATAAATAATATTTTATCTTCTATATTTTTATCTAAACAAATCTTAAATCTGTTAATAAATTGTAAATTTGATATTAATATAATAATTACTAGTTTGTAGCCAGAATTCATTATACATTTTTTAAAACATGTATGATCAAAATTATTCAGACTTTGATAAGAAATTCATCTTCATTTTCAAGTAAAATTTTTGTAAGATTTTTATAACTTCTTTCAATATATTCTATTTTATGTAGCATTATTAGACTGTTACTGTAAAACCAGTTGTAGTAAACAATCTATTTATTATTTCTTAAATGGTAATGCAGGCAAATTTGCCTGTAATTTTTAAAAATAAATTGTATTCAAATATAAAGTTTATTAATATAAATCATAATTTTGCAGCCAAATTAACCTACATTCTAATAATAAATTTGTGTGATTAAATATGTGACTGATTATTAAAATTAGATAAAAAATTAACTTGTAAAGTATAGCATCTAGTTTTTTATATAATAAATTTAAAATATTCTCACAATATTTTTCCATTATTAAAAATATTTTAATATGATTTTTTATTTTTTTTTATGAAAATTTTATATTATAATAAACAAGATATTAAAAGATAAAAAAAAATATTTTTTAAGTTTATATAATACAAACATAAAATAAAATTTTTATTAATCTATATAAAGTCAAAATCCTAATTTTAAAGATTAAAAATTATAATAATAAAAATTGTTCTTTATAACAAATTATATATATTTTATTAAATTTTGATATAGTTGCAACTAATTATTGATGAAATCGCAAAGTTAAAGTACAAAATTTTCATTATCTATATTATCATTATCAGTTTTATATATTAATCATTTATCAATAAAATATTTGTAAAAATTCAATGATATAAATATCATTTTCAAGGTTTTCATTAAAAAATATAAAAGAAATATGTTTTTTTATATTTGTGATATGTCACATCTCTTTTTTTTGCATTTTGATTATATAATTTTATTAAGATTTTCCATTTTTTAAAAAAAATATTATGTACTTACTATATACTATAAGAAATTTTATACTATACATATTTTTACAAATTTTCTTAATATATTATTAAAAAGAATTTAGAATGTCATTTTAATTTTTATATGTAATATATTATAGGGTCAGTGCAACATAATGCAGGTGTGATAAAAAATAAAACCTAATATAAAAATTATAATTAAAAATAAATAATTAATTAATGAAATTTCAAAACACCAACTTGCATAATTTTTAATAATTGGCAAAATTAATACTACTATAATTTTTATGGTTAGAATATAGATTAATATATCTGCAAAATTTTATAATAATCTTGCTAAAATTAAAGGATTTATTTAATGTTAATCAATTGCTGGCAAATTTGCTCACAAAACAGTTTAAAGGATAGAATAAGACAAAATATCTCAATATAATAAATGATTAGATAATCAGATTATATGATAATAATCACATGGTATATTTAAAGGATAAATAATTAGCCAAAAAATAAATTATTAAAATTATTACCAAATGATAAAATGAAAAAAAGAATCATAAAGTAGAAATTATAAGAAGAATTATAAAATCTTTAGGAGAAATGCATAAAAAATATATATAAGTATGAATTAACATAATAATTATACTTCACTTTACAGTATTTAATGGTGTAGTATATACTAAAGTTTTTATTTTGCAATATTTACAATATAAAAAAGAAAATAATACTAATTAAATCTTTTTTCTAACTATTTTTAAAGGTGCAATGCATACTATAATAATAGTAAAATTATTACTCCTTTTCACTATTAGTAAATCATATAATTTATAATATAATGTATGCATAAATAAAATATATGTAAGTCAAAGTAAATATACTAGGTTAGTATTATTATTTAGTTTTGTAAGTAAAGTGATTTTTAGCATTAAAATTATTCAATAAATAATGCCTTTTCATCAATTGGAAATACCAATTTTTCCAAATTTTTCCTAATACTTCTATTAAAGTGATTACTACCACACACAACTAATTTAACTTGTTTAGAATTATCTCTAGCAAATAAACTCATATAATTATGTCTTTCATTCATTAATAATATAGCTGGACTATTATTTAAAGGTGAAGAAGAATAAGGCGAAGAAGAATAAGATGGTGAAGTTTGATTATACTGTCGATCTATTGAATTATTATGGGGTGGAATCTGGATAGGTGCAGGTCTATTTTTAGGAGTTAAAGGTACGTTATTTTGTTGTTCATGCTTCGAATTTTCGTTGTTTTTACTAACTTCTTGTATAGGATTATTATTCACATTATAATTATTTGGATTTAAATAATTATGAGCATTCATATTTTGCATGTTTTGAATACCATGTGTCAAATTGCTCGTAAAATTACTTCCACCATAATTAGAAATTTTTGGCGGGATTGCTGGTGGTGGTGTCGAATAGTTTTCTCTGATCCAATCGTACAACAATACTTCATCAATTGATCCACTATCACCTCTCCAAGTAGGCGGTGGTTTGGATAAAATATATTTGACTTCAAGTTTTCCTTGTCCTTCTTTAAGTTTCTGACGTAAATAATCTAAATATTTTGGACAAATTAAATCTTCTATTTTATCAAATGCTGCCAATAAATATAGCTCGAAGTTGGAATTTGCTTTTTCAATATGATATTGTATCTAAAAAAAATTTTTTTTAAAAAAAAAACCATAAACATTTTTTAATTCTTATAATAAAATTAAATTTATTGTAACTTACCAATTGTAACATTGGAGTAATTCCAGTTCCACCACAAACCATAAACAAACAATCCCAACATAAATCTTCTCTTTCCTTATTCAACAATATTCCACTTCTTTTACCAAGAATATTATTCATTTGATTATTGTCAATACCGCTTGGTCTTTTTATATAATCCATGTGCAATCTACTGAGTGTGCGAGTGTGTGAATTTGCTGACGAAGGCCTAGTTATAGAGTCTAATATTGGTGAAGGTGCTGACAAATATGTCCTTCTATCTGCTATATCAAATGGACCTCTCACTTTGACCTCGAAATTTCTTAATTGTTTGTCCTATAAGAAAGTGTTAAAATGATGAAATCCAATTCAAAAACTAACATTAAAATGATTGTTTTCACTCACCAAATGTTGAGTCATAATACCATCTTTGTATATTTTTACAAGTATACAAAAACTATTTTCACTCGGCCCTTGAAGTGGGGTGTAAGGTCTAATGATGACATGATTATTGACATAACTCATAATTTCAATGTAATCACCCGGAAGGAATTTTGGTAATATATCATCTGGATGAATAATTTGAAATGTTAATTTTTTTACTAGAGTTTCAGCATTAGATCTAGTTACAACTTCAATATTTGATAAAATATATCTTCTGAAAATATAAGGAGATGGTTGTTGTAATTCTTTCTCGTTAAACTGTTGTGGTTGAAAAGAATTATCTTCCAAATTTGATATTCTAGAAACCACCATACTAGCTAATTTCGAAGTAGCAAATTTAGAATGGCGATGTCTTGCAACTCTACGATTTTTAAATGCTATGGCATTAATTCTATCGACAGCATTTGCCACACTATAAGGTTTACTCTTAATAAAACTTTGCCTGTTCTCCTTATATGTATCATCCGTTAGTACCGATATACTAGATTTTTCAACATCATAATCATTATAATCTTTAAAATTATTTTGGATCATTGTTTTTACTGTTGGATCATAAAAGAAATCGTTTGTTATGTCTGTTCCTATAACACGTTGTAGGATTTTTTGTCCTCCTGGATGTAGTGTGATCCATCTATGTATATCAAATACTAATCCTTCTGCTACAACTAAATTCGCTCCTGTCATAACTCTTTTATTGAATTCCTAATTTATAAATGAACGGTTAAAGTAATGAAAATTATTATTATTATTATTATTATTATTATTATTATTATTATTACTATTTACTCACATCCCATGTTACAACAGGTAAATTTTCAATAACATCATCGGGAATACAATTACGAATACGGTTTGTTGGATCGTCAGAATTTCTTACTGGCCATAAGAATTGCATATTTTTAATTTTATAATAAAATTCGCTTATTGTTATCACAAATCCAAATATTACTATCGTAATACGGTAATTTAAAATAAATATTAGTAAAATAATTCTAAAAGTTTAAATAATTATATAATACTTACATAACCATCCAGTATAGATCCAAATATATTTTCTATTCTCGCCACGGTCCCCGCTAAATTTCTTATCATATGTCATCATTCCTAAAATTATGTTTGTCCTGATACAAACGAATAAAAAAATGATTAATTAAAATAAATCAGTACGTGATGAATACTTCAAATAAATTTACCATGCAGCTAAAAGTAGCACAGCTCCTAAGTAAAAATGAAGATGTTTTAAATATCGAACAATCCCTGTCGATGCTGATTCAACATTCGCTAAACTCCAAATAGCCAATATGCCCAAGGAAATTTGTATTACTATTATAGAAATTATTACTATCCCCATTCTAAATAAGAATATTAAAAAAAAAAAATAGAATGAGGATTCTGGAATAAATTCTAGAAATAAACATGATTATTTTTCTTTTTATTTACATCGCGTGAGGACTTGTTCCATGTGCGGTTGTTGCCGTTAGAGCCACTGCGGCAAATACTGCTACCATCATTCCGCCAAATAAATTAAGGTTTCGATGTTGTACCATATAGTTATCATTATGTCTTAAGTATCTAACCATCCATACTGAACCTATAATTAAATACAAATGGATAAAACGATACAGTTTATACTGAATAAAAAAAATTCGATTTAATTAATTTTATTTACATGGAAATAACACTCCCCAAACACTGAACATAGCAATTCCATGCATTTTTAATAATCTTCGTCTGTTATCTGTAAGATCTGTGGTTGTGCCTGTTCGGAAATTAATCATTCTTTTACCACGATTTCCACCGTGATAAGTTAAGCTATGTGAGTTAGGATTCCAAGCATAAACCACTAGACGTAGAAAACACATTAGGTTTAATCATTAATTATTAATAATATAATGCATGTTTTCTTCTACATACTTTCGATGTCACCATCTAGGGATTTTCTATTTTTATTATTTATTGGACGAGTAACTTCAAGTGAAGTTAAACCACCTTCAACTTTTTGATTAGAAATAGTTATAATTTGATCATTATTATCTAATTGCTTAGGTACAATACCAAGTCCAATTCCTTTAAAATTTTTTCCAGTAACAGAATTATTTTCATTCCAAAATATCATCATATCAGTGTCTGTCATACCATTACCATTAGGATTAAATCCTATTCCAAACCATGAATTTGTACTACTCATTGTAATTAAGAAAGTAATAGTTGTTGAATCCATTTTCCATTGAATATTATAATCATTGGAAAGTGATAAAGGCGAATTATAACCGTTATTAGTGTTTTCGGGTAATTTTGACGAAGCAGGCGGTTGTACGAACCAGACATTTCGAGGGTAATATGAATCCGGGGTATTTCTTTTTATGATATCTAATAATGTTGTTGTTTGAATTTTTGCTATATCCTCTTTACTAAATCCAGCATCCGCATTTTCATACCAAAATCTATCTGCGGCTCGGCTTTTTATCCATTGGTCTGAAAAACTTTTATAAAATAACTCTCCAAAATTTCCACCATTAACGTGATCTTCTGCTAATCCACCCATTAATGCTTCAACTCGATCTACCGTTGTATATGTATCTTGTAATCTTTTCTGTACATCAGGATCACTTGATATTTCTGCAAATGAATTTTTTCTTGCTAATCCAAAAGCTTGTCTCGCGTCATTATATAATGGAATACCACGATCTCTACTTCGAACAGTATCGACACTTTAAAATGAGTAAAGGAAACATTACCACTTATTAGTAGGGGCATATCGTGAACATTTATAAAATTATCTTACCTAACAATGTCAAAATATTCTGAGATATGTAGGTAATGTCGCCTAAATATCCAAATAATAAGGGATGTTATACATATGTGCATAAATTCAACGTATTATAATGAGTTCTAGCATGTATGTTCTTTGAAAAAACTGCTAAAAAATAAACTTACACAAAATCGGCAGTATAAATATCAACTTCTTCTTGTCTATAAGTGTTAAAATTTTTTATTTTAGATAATTAAATTAAATTGAGAAAACATGAAAACATATAAATTTATTATAATAACTACCTCTGAAGCGCCAATGAAAGTGCAATAGATGGAACTCCATATGTTTTTATTAGTTGAGAATTTTGTAAATCATTTAACATCAACGATGTAAGTAATTCTCCTTGTCCATTTACTATGTCATGAAAGTCACTATAACATAGTGTATATACTACTTAATACTAACATTATACTACTATAAAAATTAGTAAAATATTATGATTCAATTATCCAAACTTATTACCTGAGTTCAGAATGACCATATCGATAGGTTACGGTAGCAAAGAAAGTGTCAATAGATGGTGTAATTTCTGGTTTATATCCATCATATTTAGGTAAAGGAGTTCCCAATGCTGTCCCAACTGTTAATAATTATAATAGCATATATTTTAAATAAGCAGCAATTGATAAGCCAGATAACATATTACTATAAATTAAACTTACGATATTCATAATAAGTAATTTTTTGGAGAAAAGCTATAACCCATCTTCTAGCTTCTTGAAAATATGTTTCATCATCCCAATTATCTTTATTGACATTATAAAGTTCATCGCATAATCGATTGTGCTCACGTAAGAAAAGTATATGAAAAAAATCTGTAAAAACATTTCTTCCAAATACTGCACTATATCCATATATAAAATCGCCATTCGCATAGACAGGTGGATATCCAAATGCTCCATCAGGTGTAGATTCTTTTATTAATATCATTTTTCCCCTATTATTATAATCTCTGACCAATCGTAAATCATCATTACTGTTGCCATAAACTGTTGACGCGTCAATAAATGATGTGGCCTCATTAACTCCTGTATTACCACCATCTGGAACTGATCGATTAAACGGTAATGCAGCCTAAAAAAATATTATCATAATAAATTATATTATATGCGTTATGTTAAATAATAAGAACATTTTGTCATTAATAACGCATAAAAATTTCATTATAATGTAAAGTGTAATAAAAGCTTACTTCAGCAAAAGAAAGATCTGCGGGTTTTGGACCGTTTCGATAACTAGATAAATAAATTTGATCGTCTTGAGGGATATAAACACCTTTTGGATAATTCATTCCTGATTCGAAACCACTACTAATATCCATTTTCATAAAAAGGCCCCAATATGTTAACTTTTGAAATGAGAAATGAGAAAAGAAAAAGTATTAATATACCGCAGTAACGAAAATCATTCTACGCCATTACAATAGACTGGTACCGCATCAAGCAAATATAAATACACTTACAATATGAGAAACTTTTCGTTTACTTTTGAACTTTTCCAAACGTGGTATATCAAATGTATCATTATCTTTTGATTGCTTAGACATTAATTTATTACTAACACATCTGGGTAAAGGAAATATGTCATCAGGTAAGGTGGCGTTGCAAGTAAAAAGTGTATCTGGAATAGATGTATAATCTCCGGGAGTATGAATTAAATTATTATTCGCATCTGCATAATGGGACGTTGAAGGAAGATTTCTTACGAAAGGAGTCTTTGGAATACCGGCCGTTGGCTGATACCTGTTATTACCCATGCCATCTATTGAACGATATTCACATGTTGTCGTGATAATTAATATAGACACAGTGTAAAAGAGAAATAATAACAAATTGAACGGTTTATTTTTGATTATCATTGTTGAATTTTTCTACTTGATATTTCAGCTAGAAATATCGTCTATTTCACTTCGATATATAAATGACGTATACTATTTAATTAGAGACCGGTTAATGTCAATATTAGGAATTTAATTAATCTCCAAATAGAGAAAATAATTTAAATGATTTAAAGAGTTTCCTCAATAAATAAGTTATTGTCAGAATGAAGTTTAACCTTCAACGTATTTATGTATAATTCTTTTATTAAAAAAGGTTATCAATTATTAGATAAACAATATCAAAACGTAAACATACTTAAATGATCGTCTATTATATTGTGATTCTACTTACTTTTTAGTATTTTCATTACAATGTTCGAGTGACAAGTGCAGTATTTTATTTACATTTCAAGAAACTCATTTGCGTACGGCGCAAAATTCTGAGTATTTGCCGTCATTTTGCTTACACGGATTTTTTTTACCGCTTAGCAAAAAAATATTTTGAGATTATTCCTGTTTTTATTTATTGTTTAATTTTAAACATTACCGAAACAGAAAATTTCATAAATTAGCCCTTTGACCGGAATTTTTTTACCGACAACTTCGCTTCATTAAGGCCGGACAAAAATCTTGGGCATGACATTCCAAAATAAACCCTTGTTTCCGGACTTATTACACCGACAAAAAACAAATGTTGTTCAACCATGTCCCAAGTTTCCAAACTTCCAAACTTGACTATGAACCAACCAAATTAGGTAATGTTTAGCAGTTTAGGGGTATGGCAGGTTTCAGTCTTTCAGATCTGGGTTATAACATACAAATTTACCTAATTAAGAATGAATGAATATAAAAATACATTTTCAATGAACATTTTCGATAATCATGACGCCGGAACGATAATTAAAATTTTATTTGTAAAATTTATATTAAATAATAAATAAATGCTATATACTGTATATAAAATTAAAAAAAAAAAACTAAAAAAAAAAAAATATAAATATAAATTTTTTTTTTTTCTAAGCAATAAATAAAGCTTTTTCATTAATTGGAAATCCTATTTTGTCTAAAGATAATCTAATATTTTCATTAAATTGGTTTGTACCACAGACTATTAATCTAACTCGTTTAGAAGTATCTCTGGCAAATAATTTCATGTAATTATGCCTTTCATTCATCAACAAAATTTGATTTGCTGCAGCATCACTTAAATTTGCAAGTTGAGGTGGTGATGAATAAGGAGGATAAGCTTGATTGTAAATCAATTGCTGTTGATCTTCTGATTGGTACATTGAATTATTATTGGATATTGGAACGAGACTTGGAGAAGATACAATATAATTGGGATCATAATCAACATCTTGTATATTATTAATAATAATATTAGGATTATAATAGCTATTGTCAACAAGGTTACTTGTGCTACCGTTTCCAATGCCATAATTGGAAAACTTTGGTGGAACTGCAGGAGGAGGTACCGAATACCTTTCACTGATCCAATCATATATTAATGCATCGTCAATCAATCCACTATAATCTCTCCAAACTGCTGGTGGCTTGAATAAAATATATTTGACTTCAAGTTTCCCATTAAGTGATTGACATAAATAATCAATATATTTTGGATAAATCAAATCTTCTATTTTATCAAATGCTGCTAATAAATATAAGCTGAAGTTGGAATTTGAAGAAGTCGCTTTTTCCATATGATATTGTATCTAAATAAATATAAATAACAATTAATTAGTTATTTTTTTTTATAAAGATATAGATTAAATTAAAAGTCTATAAATAACTTACCATCTGTATCATCGGAGTAATTCCCGTTCCACCACAAACCATAAACAAACAATCCCAACATAAATCTTCTCTTTCTTTATTTAATAATACTCCAGTTCTATCACCAAGTATAACATTATTATTACTTTCATTAGAATTACTAATACTATATCCTTTATGATGATTTTCGTACTGGAAATAAGTTGAGAAGTTATTTGGTCTTATCATGTAATCTAATCCATTAAAACCAAACGAGCTTATCATAGGTGATGATGGTCTTGTTAATGTATTTGGTGGTTCTAATGTAGTTGAAGGTGCCTGATAATTTGTTGTCATTCTATCTGCTATATCAAATGGCCCTCTCACTTTGACCTCAAAGTTTTTTAATTGTTTATTCTATAAGAGAAAAATATTAAAATGATAAATACGAATCGAATAATTAATAATATAAAAAAATTTGGTTGGTTTACTTACCAAATGTTGAGTCATAACACCATCTTTGTATATCTTAACCAATATACAAAAACTAGTTTCAGTTGGCCCTTGAAGTGGAGTATAAGGTCTGATAATAACGTGATTATTAGCATAACTCATAATTTCAATATAATCACCTGGAAGGAATTTAGGTAATTTATCATTTGGGTGAATAACTTGAAATGTTAATTTTTTCACAACGTTTAAAGCGTTAGGTCTTGTTACAATTTCAATATTTGTTAAAATATATCTTCTGAAAATATAAGGAGAATATGGTGGTGGTTGCGGAATTAATGCCTTTTCACTATTATTTTGATTTGAAGAATTATCATCACCTACTATTCTAGCGATTACCATACTAGCTAATTTCGATGTAGCAAATTTTGAATGACTATGCATTGCAACCCTACGATTCTTAAATGCTGTAGCATTAATCCTATCAACAGCATTAGCTACACTATAAGGTTTACTCTTAGTATAACTTTCCCTATTTTCTTTGTATGTATCATCTGTTAATAACGGTATACTAGGTTCTTTAACATTATACTCTTCTTTAAGGCTATTTTGGATCACTGTTCTTACTATTGGATCAAAAAAGAAATCATTGGTAATATCTGTTCCTATAACACGTTGTAGGATTTTTTGTCCTCCCGGATGTAGTGGAATCCATCTGTGTATATCAAATATCAATCCTTCTGCTACGACTAAATTCGCTCCTGTCATAATTCTTTTATTAAATTCCTAAATCATAAAAATAAAAAAAATATTAAATAATGTCAAAAATTAAAATTACTAAATCATATTGTTACTTACTTCCCAGGTGACGACAGGTAAAGTTTCGAAAACTTCATCGGGAATACATTTACGAATACGTTTTGTTAAATCATCCGATTCTTTTACTGGCCACAAGAATTGCATATTCTTAATTTTATAATAAAATTCACTTGCTGTTATTGCAAATCCAAACAATACTATCATAATGTGTAATTTAAGAATAATATATTATTAAATGATTTTTAAAAAAAATATGATAATAAAAATAATACCATAATACTTACTTAACCATACTGTGTATGCCCAAATATACCCTCTATTCTCGCCACGATTCCCACCAAATTTCTGATCATATGTTATCATTCCCAAGAATATATTGGCCCTAAAAATAAAATGAAATTTAATTTTAAAGAAAAGAAAATCATTGCGTAACAAGTGTATTTAAAAAAAAAAATTACCATGCAGTTAAAAGTAACGCAGTTCCTAAATAAAAATGAAAATGTTTTAAATAACGAACAATTCCTGTTGATGCTGACTCAACGTGTTCCAAACTCCAAATCGCCAATATACCCAAAGAAACTTGTATTGCTGTTATGGTAATTATTGTTATTCCCACCCTATGATAAAAGAAATATTTAAGATTAATGAATTGAATTCATGAAAACAATTTTTTATTTATTTTTTACTTACACTGCATGAGAACTTGTTCCATGTGTAGATGTTGCCGTTAGAGCTACTGCGGCAAATACTGCTATTACCATTCCACCAAATAAATTTAGGTTTCGATGTTGTACCATATAACTATCAATATGTCTTAAATATCTAACGATCCATATCGAACCTATAAATAAATTATATTTATTAATTTTAAAATGGTCAAATAAAAAAAATTGATTATTGATTATTTTATATTTACATGGAAATAGAACCCCCCAAATAATAAACATAGCAATTCCGTGCATTCTTAATAGTCCTGGTCTGTTATCTGTAAGATCCGTAGATGCTCCTGTTCGGAAATTTATTGTTCTTTTTCCACGATTTCCACCGTGATAAGTTAAAATATTTGAATTGGGATTCCAAGCATGAACCACTAGATAGATAGAAAAAATATTAATTAAATGTTCGTAAATAATCAATAATTAATAAAATTTTCATTTACTTACTTTCAATATTACCGTCTAGAGATTTTCTATTTTTATTATTTATTGGACGAGTAACTTCAAGTGAAGTAGTACCACCTTCAACTTTTTGACTAATAATAGTTATAATTTGGTCATCATTACCCAATTGCATAGGTACAATACCAAGTCCAATTCCTTTAAAATTTTTTCCAGTAACAGAATTATTTTCATTCCAAAATATCATCATATCAGTGTCTGTCATACCATTACCATTAGGATTGAACCCTAATGCAAACCACGCATTTGTACTTCTCATTGTAATTTGAAAAGTGATGTTTGTTGAATCCATTTTCCATTGAATATTATAATCATCAGAAAGTGATAAGGGTGAATTATAACCATTATTAGCGCCATCAGATGGGCCTGCTGAATTAAAAGATTGTACAAACCAAAGATTTTGAGGATAATATGAATCTGGAGTATTTCTTTTTATGATATCTAATAATGTTGTTATTTGAATTTTTGCTATATCTTCTTTACTAAATCCTGCATCTGCATTTTCATACCAAAATCTATCTGCGGCTCTGATTTTTACCCATTGTTCTGAAAAACTTTTATAAAATAATTCTCCCAAATTTCCACCATTAACATGATCTTCTGCTAATCCACCCATTAATGCTTCAACTCGATCTACCGTTGTATAAGTATCTTGCAATCTTTTCTGTACATCAGGATCACTTGATATTTCTGCAAATGATTTTTTTCTTGCTAATCCAAAAGCTTGTCTCGCATCATTATATAATGGAACGCCATGATCTCTACCTCGAATATTATCGAGACTGAAAAACGAATGAATAAAGAGATTTAAAACTCGTGTACATATTTTTTTTAAATGAAACGAATGCATAATACGTAATTATTTTTACCTGGAAATATCCATCCATCTTGAGGCATGAAAATAAAATCGCCTAAATAATCAAAAAAAAAAAAAGTATTGATTAATAATTATTAATAACAATACATGATTAAAATAAAAGTGATGAACTTACACAAGATCGGCAGAATAAATATCAACTTCTTCTTGCCTATTAGGTGTTAAAATTTTATATTAGATAAAGATAATTAAATTAAGAAAGTACATAATTCATTAAATACCTTTGAAGTGCCAATGAAAGTGCAATTGAAGAAGATCCATATACTTTTATTAATTGAGAATTTTGTAAATCATTTAATGACAAAGTTGTAAGTGGTTCTCCTTGTCCATCTACTATTTCGTGAAAATCACTACGTATAATGTATAATTTTAATATTAACATTAATAAGATGAACAAAATAGTATGATACAATTATCCAATATTTTAGTACCTGAGTTCAGAATGACCATAACGATAGGTTACGGTGGAAAAGAAAGTATCAACAGATGGTGTGATTTCTGGTTTATATCCATCATATTTAGGTAAAGGAGTTCCCAATGCTGTCCCGACTATTAAATAATCAAAAAACAGCATAAATTATAAACATGCAGTAATATAAACTAGATAACATTTTATTGTAAATAACTTACGATATTCATAATAAGTAATTTTTTGGAGAAAAGCTATAACCCATCTTCTAGCTTCTTGGAAATATGTTTCATCATCCCAACTATTCCCATGAATAGCGAATAATTCGTCACATAACCTATTGTGTTCACGTACGAAAAGTATATGAAAAAAATCTGTAAAGACATTTCTTCCAAATTCTGCGCTATATCCATATATAAAATCGCCATTCACATCGACAGGTGGATATCCAAATGCTCCATCAGGTGTAGATTCTTTTATTAATATCATTTTCCCATTATTATTATAATCTCTAATCTTTCGTAAATCAGCATCACGATTACCATAAACTGTAGAACCGTCAACAAATATTGAGGGTTCATTGATTCCCGTATTACCACCATCTGCTACTGATCTATTAAATTCTAATGTTCCACCCTATATAATATTAATTACATTAATGATAGGATAAAAAGATTTTGTAACAACAAGGCGTTAAATTTAGCTTACCGGAAAAAAAGTAATGTCTTTAGGTTTTATACCATTTCTATTACTGGATAAATAAAGTTGATCGTCTTGAGGGATATATACACCTTTTGGGAAATTCTGTCCTACATCGAATCCAGAACTAACATCCATTTTCACAAATAATCCCCAGTATGTTAACTTTTTTATTTAAAAATTTATAACAAAATTGTCAGTGTGGCGCAGTAACCATATTATTTAACTGCGGCAAAGTCCAATAAAAAAAGAAAAATTCCTACCATATGAGAAATTCTTCGCTTACTTTTGTATTTTTCTAAAAGTGTTGTATTAAACATATCATCATCTTTTGATTGTTTAGACATTACTTTATTACTAACACATCTAGGTAAAGGAAATGTTCCTTCAGGTAAGTTTGCGTCACAAGTAAAAAGAGTTTTCGGAACATCTAAATAGTTTCCGGGAGTGACAATCAAATTATTATTCGCATCAGCGAAAAAGGATGTTGAAGGAACATCTCTTGCGAAGGGAGTATCTGAAATACCGGCCGATGGTTTGTTTCTATTATTACCCTCACCATTTATTGAACGATATTCTATACATATTGTAGTAGTTATTAAAAGGAATGTGAAGAGGAGATAAGATAAAAATTTGAAAAGTTTATTTTTAATTATCATTGTTAAGTATCATCGGTAAAATATATTAAAAACAATTAAGGTCAAAGGTTCGAAATAAATAGGATCATAAATTTCTCGAATTTTTTTATGCTTTTATAAACATATTTTTTAATTATATTAACAATTTATCTAATATAATTATATGCATATAAAATTTTTGTGTACGCAAAACAAACACATTCATAAACAGTTGATCTATCTCACTTTTGACCCAATTTGTGAATTGAACTTCTCTAAGTTAGGAAAAAATTAAAATTTCGTATTTTTTTTTTTTAAAAAATAACCTTTAAAATTGATACATAATAATGATGAACTAACATGAGATAAGACTTTTTAGCGATTAGATGATTTAAAGTTTATAAATAATAATGAATGAATTCAGGAAATATATTAAAAGTAAATAGCCTTCCATTATCGATCACTTGCTTATCTTTTGTTGGTCATATATAACCCTGAAAGTTTGCAAAATATGGAAATTTTTAAAGGAATCGATCTAATACTATTAAGTAAAATTATTTTACCGTATAGTATAAAAATGTCGTAAAATTTGAAAAAAAAGCATTTACCTTAATTAGAAGTTTGTAATAATTTTAAATAATTTTTTCTTGAAACAAAAAATTAATTGTGTGACGATCCAGTTAATATAGTGATAATATAATTGTATACAATAAGCGGAACCAATTTGTACAATTTGTACATTTACACAACTTACACAAAAATTATTCGCAATTCAATTCGCAATTTATTCAACATTCGTGCATATATGCATATCTTTTTTACTTCTGATTTTGATCGATTCAATGATTTGTTCGACGAGCGTAATATAAAAATAGATTTTGTCCCCGAAGGAATGGCGCTAAGGCATAAAATCCGACCAGAATTGGCATAGTCAAATGTTTCGAGATGATAAGGTATTTTTTTTTATTATATTGTTACATTTTGATACAAGTCATTTTGTATGACAAACAAATAGACCCTTTAGCCCTTAATAAAAGTTGTAAAACGATAAATTTATCATCATTTTTTTTTTTAATTAAATCGTTAATTGTTGATTGGTGAAATTGTTCTACACACAAATAATAACAAAATTGTATTTTCTTCTGTTTCATATTAAATCATTATAAAAATTGCAATTAATTATTTCAATTCGGTAAAAACAATTCTTTTTTTTTTTCCTGTATGTCATATAAATGCGTAATAAAGTATTATGACTTCCATACCTTTTTGATAACCAGCAAATTATAGGTAAAATTCTTTTCCTTACATTTTGGAAGATCCTTCGGATTATTATTTTATTTTATTTTTGAATTTTTAAAACCGCTTTAAACTTAAATTTTTTCATTGAATTAATTGGTAATAATTTATTATAGACATTTTTCTAAGATAATTCCTCATAGTCCAAATATATATCAATACATTAATGTTTGCATATGCAATTCGGAATCTCCGACGATAAACATTTGTTTAATAATTACAATAATACATAAATCCAACAATTTTGACAGAACTTCGTACGTGAATAACGTGAATAGCGTATATTTGATTGAATCTAAAATTGTTTTACCATGTGCCACGACGAAATTCTTAAATCGAAATGTCGAAAATCAAACAAAAAAAATTTACCCAATTAATTGCCGATCTGCATATGATCGATAGGTATCAGTATTTTACCGAGATTTAGAGACTAACCTTGATTAATAAAAAAGTACGTAATTTTTGTAATTTTTTGCTAAAAAAAAACTTTTTTTCGGAGATATTTATTGAGATATTTTAGTCTTTAGATAATTTCTAGTGTGATGAACCAATCATCATTCATTTCATTTGTAATCCACGCGTAATTTATTATTGACTGCGTAATTAACTATTATTGATTGCGTTATCAATCCAGTGTAATGTGTTATTTCCAAAAATGTGACAATTATGGTATTTTTTTAGTGTAATTTATTTAGAATGCTACGTTGTCAGCGTTAACGTAATGGAGCATTTTCAAAAATATTATAAATGTGGTGTTTTATGGCGTAACCAATCGAATCTCGTGAGTCGTGATACTGCGCCAAAATACGCTTTTTAAGATCTAGGATCTGCATTTTTGATAATCATACAATTTTTAGTTTCTACAAAAAACAATGATAAGCGAAGGTGACTTACTTTTAAATAAAGATAATAACTTACAAGATTTATTGTCTGAAATTAGCGTGTCTGATACACGCTCAATTTTATTTGGAACTTTAGGTATTTATTTATTGTAATTTTTTAAATGATAATGATTACATATATATTAATTTTTTTCATTTATTTATAGACCAGGATATTAGTTTTAACCTGAACAAAGACTTTGACTGTTCATTTCGTATACCAGAATTGCCGACTCGTCCTATTGATGTTCTATTAGATTCTTTGCCAATTCCAAATTCACAATTCATACTTAATCAACCCAAAGATTCTCCAAAGTCATCAATTGATGATGACGAAACTCAGAGTTTTATATCCACACAAATATCTGAGGTTTCAGTACCTGAAGAAAAGTCAATATGGGACAAAGTGATGAATTTTGATAAGAAACAGGTATTGTAAACATACTTCGAAAAATTAGGATTACATTTATTTATCTAATTTTTTTTCTTTTTTTTTGGTTTGCTATATTAAGGGACAAATGCTATCTTGGGAGTCAACTGGAACATTAAAATTAAAACACAATCTGACTTCTCCATATTTATTAGAGTCAGATATTTCAGTATTTGAATCTGTTTATCATAACTACTTTCACCATTCTTATGGATATAATTATTTTTCTGTTCCTCATGAGGTTTTAATCCAAGATATCCTAAGTTTAATAACTGGAACTCAATCAAAAATATTCTCTTATGATAAATCTAGTAGGAAATTTATTTCAAAATATTTAAACCTTCGTATAAGTGGGTGTAGTTCTAGAAGTATCAATAAGTATGTAAAAAAAAAAGAAATATGCCAATAGAAATAATACAAAAAAAAACACATTATTTATTTAAGGAAAATTATTATATTTTCTATATATTTATATATTTATTTTTTTAGAATGCTGGGGCGCTTTTTAAATCTTGGTTCACATATTAGGAGACTTGAAAATGTTGCAGAAAAATGCATGAAGAGTTCACGGTATAATTATTATTATGAGAGATATTACTAGAAATTATTTTAATTATTTATTTGATATTAAAAATTTATTTATTAGATTATATGGATTAACTGGTGTTGCCTTTGGACGGTCACTTTCTTCTTTTATCTCATTTATACGAACTTCAATTGTTACAATGGTTGAAACAATAAGTGACCAGGACCAAATGAAAATTATTCGGCTTTATCATTTAATAGATGATATTTCATTAGTAATCGAAAGAATTGCTGCTTTTTGTCGATGTGTATGTATTAGATAAATTCTATTATTCGATAACAATGTGATTAATTAATTAATTAACAATAAATTTTAGGATATAGAGAATTCAAGATTGTTAGAATTGACAGAAAATCAAAAAGAACAACTTGAGCTCGAAGGATTTTACGTACCGCTCGGCTCGAATATTCTATCAGAGTTATACATTACTGCCGAGTCAATAGATGCAGTACGGGCTCCGCTCCTAAAATCTGTGTTATTAGTATTTTTGGAACAGTCGAGTCATCCTTTTTTTCATATGTTAAGTTCTTGGCTAGGCGTTGGTCCATCATCATTTCATTTTTCATTACCGCTGGAATTACAAAAAGGTGATTTTCTCGATCCATATGAAGAATTCTTTATTGATAATTTCGTAGTTGATTCTAATTATGTTAAGCAAAATGGAGACGAATTTTGGCAAGGTGGAATTCACGTAAGTTCTTTTCTGTGCTATTCTATTTTTATTATTAATTTAATTCGTTAATATTCTTTATATTCTTTTTATAGGTAAGTAATGACCATCCACTTCCTGCTTTTATTAATGTCGAGCTAGCTCGAGACGTTCTTGAGGCAGGAAAATCTTTGAGATTGTTAAGAGATTGTCGTCCAAATCATCCGCTATGTCATTCACGTGTTATATTAGATCAAACAACTGGCAAACGAGCTTGGGATATAAAGATGAGATGGTTATTCATCCAAAGAGACATTGACAAGTAAGTGAAGAAACCACAAAAATCGTAATCTTACAAGTACAATTATTTTTTTTTTCATGTGATATTTTATTTTTTATATATTCGTAATTATATAGTATGAAAGAACAGCTACAAAACTACTCAAAAGACATGACAATAGCAATTGTTATACAAGATGAACATCGTAAAGCGGAAATTGCTGGGATTCGTGAACGTTATCAAAAAAAAATGTCAAAACGAAAACAAGACGTTAAGTCAATTGAGTTATCTCGTAATTTTTTTTCTTTAATTAAGTCTGACTTTATTTATTGTAATATTTTCAGGCCGAATTACACCTTAATCAAAAAAAGGAATCTGCCAGAATAGAACTCGAAGAACGATCAAAAAAGAAAACTGAATGGAAGAAAAGTGTTGAGGTATGTTTTTTTATACAATTCTATCGATTTCATTAACTTATTAATTGTATATTTGTAATTTAGAAATATTTAGCAGAAAAAAGATTAAGTATCTCTGAAACCACCCCTAACTTAAATAAACTTTCAATAAAAATGCCACCGCCAGAAAAATCCAGAAATAATCCAATTTTTGTAGAATCACCGCAAGACACCCATAAGAGTCTTGAATCATCTATGAACCAGAGAGAAACTTATGAAAAGAATGATTCAGATCGTACTCATGATACCTTGAATATTGAAAACCTGTACAGTGTACATCGAACGGATGTATTTGATTTTGCGCTGTCATATTCAACAAATGATGATCCAACCATGGCGTTGATTGAACATCTGTTGCGAGCACAGTCTTCGAATTCTTCTTATGCGCACAAGGAATATATTCTTCCTTTAAGTGCTATCACAGAATTAGTTGTCCGGCAAACTTTACTTTGTCATTGTCGATTGATTAATGCTTCAATCTTATCTATCTTCTTCAATGATCTTGATCTTCGCGCACATTTGAATGTCTTACGGGACTTTATGCTTATGGGTAATGGAACATTTGTTTCTGGATTGGTAGAAGCATTATTTAATGACAATGTTGATCTTGGAGAAGATTTTTTTCCAGCTAATGATAATCTTGGAATGGGTATAGGACTTGGCATTAGATTAAATAGTCGTCAAACTTGGCCTCCTGTTGGAATTGAGTGGAGGATGGCTCTAAAAGCCGTTATTGTAGAGACTATTCTTTTAGAAAAGAAGAATTTGGAAAATGAAGATTCTCATCCGATAGATGCATGGGGTAAAGTTAATGATTTGGATAACATGCTTATGTTTGGTATTCACACGTATAAAGAATCAGAAATTTGTAATGATCCGAATGGTAATTATCAAAATTTTATTTTTTATTTTGAATTATGATTTATTGCCTTAATTATTAACTAATAGTATTGAATATTATATCCATTTATTTCGGAATTATTTCATTATTTAAGCTTTAGAAGCATTGGATTTTCTTTATCTTGATTTTAAACCTCCCTATCCGATTAACGTAATTATAACTCCTAGCTCAATTTCAAAATACAATCGATTATTTACATTTCTTTTGCGAGTGTTACGTATGGGAACAGTTATTCGACACATTTATAGACTAGCTCATGAACGTTATTTATATGATGATGAGGGAGAAGCTGCTGAGTATAGCGTACTTGTTCAAAAATTCCGATTTGATGCTCAACAATTCATTATCGCACTACACGAGTATGTATTTGATGTTGCAATATCAACTACTTGGACTCTATTTATGAAAAGGTTAAATATAATCGCAAAAGAGTCGGAATTTGAGTTACCTCGTGAGCATGTTTGGGGACGAGGAAGTACTAGCGATTCAGTTAGCCTTTTTGATGAACAATCAGATGTTTTTTCAGTAGGAAATGTGGATGAATTTGAAAATGAGGAAGATGATGATGAAATTGGAGAGGGGGTGAAAGATCTTGAATCATTACGTTCATATCATGATCATATTTTAGATCGTATGTTATTTCAATGTTTACTTAAAAAGAAACAAGAAGCAGTTATGAAGGTTCTCAACGGAATTTTTACAGTAGTATTAACATTCGCCAATAAGTTACAACAAAAAAGGTCGCGTATAATTAGCTTGCAAAAAAGACAAGAGTATTGGAATTCAATTAAAGACTTGCATGGAAAATTTAGATTATATACAGCAATGCTTGTAAAGATATTAATGGCTTTAGATGAAAAAGGTGGTGGAAGAATGGGAATGGGAATGAAACGTACAGCTAATATTAATCCTGAAGGAGAAAGTGCGGGAACTAATTTTTCTACAAGTCGTGATGATGGGAGATCTTATCATGATAAAGTTGATAATCAATCTGGCGGTGGATTTTTACAAGAATTTTTGTTAAGGGTGGACTTTAATGGCTTTTATGCTTCAATTATAGCAAAAGAATTGTCGAAAAGAAATAAAGATTAACTTATCACAGATATGCTCTGTAGTGTTGTTCATTTACGATGCTCGAGCCTGTCCAAATTGTCATATATTATGTAAGTCTAATCGTGCATTTTGCATTTTGCGTGAGTAATTCTTTTTATCTTTTTCAACCTTTTTTTTTTTTTTAACTTTTCCTTGGCCTTTTCCCTTAGAATTAAGTAAAAATGCCCAAGTAGACATCCAAAAGTATACCCAAAGAGGAAAAAAAACATAAGATGGGACGTGCGCGTAATATTCATAAACATAATAAATTTCGATTCAATATATGAAAAGGAGTGTAGGCGAAAACGTAGAAGAGTGAATTATTTTGATTGCGTAGATCTAATTAGACGGCATAATTTTTTCATTTATACCGAATTTTTCAAATTATTTAACTAGGGTGCGGAATTAGGCCCATAAGTTCTAGATTGAATTCGAATTTTTCGGAATTCGGATTGGATTTTAAAAATCTAATAGTAATTTTATCCTATCGAAAATAATATTCTTGAATTTATTATTAATTCAAAATTCCGGATTGGGTTTAGAAATCACAATTCCGGATTTAACTTTAATTATTATAATTAACTGATAATATCTTAATATAATAGTTATAATAAAAACGTAATAAATTAAATAAATCCACATGATTTTTAATTACCGAAATTTCACCTAGCATAATAAATGATAAAAGATGGAATGTTACTATTTTCGTTAATAAATAAGGTGATTTTAATCTTATAAGCCAAATTTATTATATAATATGCTCTAGTTGCACCTTTACCATCAGATCAAAATATACAAAGAAATAATTCTATGAACAGAGCATTTATCCAAGTAAAATCTAAAATTTTCGCCAAACGTCTATAAAAAATGATAAATGTTGTAGCTCAATTATGTTCTAAGTTAAAATTGGGTCTCAAATTGACATTTTCGATTTGGGACATGTCACTCGACTGACACAAGTTTTGTGGGCGTGGTTTTTTGTGTCATGGGGGTGACAAATAAGTTTTTGACACAAAAAAAAAACTAAGTCCCTCAGATGCAAATGTATCGTTCTTATACGATCAGGTGCTATGTTCTTATACATTTGCCCCTCAGTCCTCAGATACTTAATGTTTTTGAACTCGTGGCTGCACGTGATCAGTGACACTTAAATGTCACTTGTTCCTTATATGGTGAAGATCGACACAAACCGCGCCCACGAAACTTGAGTGCTGACAGGTATCGTATGTCCCATGCTTAATATTAATTTTTTAATTTGAGATATCTTCGAATCAAATTCAGATTTTATAAGTCAAATATTACCTTTGATATTAATAACTTTCATAATATGCAAACATTTATGTCCTAAATAAATAACTCATTCAATTTTACTAAAAAACGATTGATATGTGATTAGAACTAAAGAATAAGATTATATGTCGATATAATTATTTTCAAATTGGATCGGAAAAGGTTCCGCTTCCAAAAGAAAGTTGAAAAGTTAAAAAAAAACAAAAAAAAAAAGAACTCACACTCCGATTTGACTGAAGAAAGATTTTCGTCGAAATCCAAACTCTTCTTTTTTTTTCTTTTATATTAAATCTCAATTTTCTTGAATTTTCTAACCCATTGAAATTATATGTCCCATTCAAGAAAAGCATTTGTATGATATATCTACGTAATTGTAGATAAAATAAATTTTGATCTAATTTTCGAAATAATTTTTTCTTTTTTTTTCTTTTTTTTTTTTTGTTTCTTAACGAAATTTGCATTTATATATGCATGCATATTAAAGAATATATATAATTCTTTTTATGGTTTGAATCTTAAATTTAAGTTTCTTACGTATTCCGCGAAAGAAATAAAATCTTTTTAAGTGCTTGATTCATTATTATAATTTGGCGTTTTAAATTCTCTTATCATTGTTTTGTATAAGATTATACACTAAAAATAAACTGGAATTTTCTAACATCGCTAATCAGTGATCAGGCTTTTTGGGCATAAAATCTGGAGGGAAAAGGAAATCAATTATAAGTGGTTAATTTGTAAAAAAAGTTGATTTTATTTATTTGTTTTTGGCTTACCTTCGAGTTTTATAATACAGCCGATTTTGATTAATTTCCATACGAATGTTTTCCAACATGGAATCAAATTTTTCGTGTGAAATGCCAATAAATTGTGATAAAGCGGGTTTACAGGCTTCAGCGCTTTCGATATAATCATTACACATCTAATATATATATATATATTTATTTATTTATATAATCAAAATTTTTTAAATTTTTTTCTTATAAAATATACTTTACGTACCATTTCACCAAGTCTACCACCCCATTGTCCAATCGGTGTTGAACGTTCTTCACAATGAATATTTTTAAATAATTTAGTGCTTGTTAATATATTTTCAAGTTGTGAACTAATAAAGCCATTAATTCCAAGAGTAGCAAGAAAACCCAATACTATATATTTAAAGAAATTAAATTGTTAGATTAGATTACAAAAAATACACACATATACATTTATGTAACTTACGTGCTCGACTAAATTTATGACAATTTGGTGCATCAGTTTCCTTTGAAAAAAGAAATTCGGGTTCCCTATAAAGAGAAAATTCGGTTAATAAAAACGGGGAGAAATTTTTTTTTTTTAATAGATAATATGTTACATTAATTCGATCCATCCATCTGGTTTAGTTACACGATGTAATTCGTAAATTACATCATTTTTCCATTGGTCTTCTGAAATAGCCGAAGCAAGGGAACGTTGATAAACGAAATCGAATGTATCATCTTCGAATGGAAGTCCATCCAACATATTTTGAAGGAAAGTTGCATTATCAGGTTTTTTCTGTTCTGATGGGAAGATAGGAGAAATATCAACTCCTATGAATATAGCGGATGGATATTCGAATGCCATATCTGTTACCCAAGTTCCGGGTCCACATCTAACCAGTAATGGTACAGGTATTTAGAAAAGACCATGCATGTGATTATATAAAGAAAGTTTATACATTATATATCTTACCCAACATCAAGAACGCAAGGATGATTTTCTTTTTGTGATAATTTTTCACGCACAGGAGCAGAAAAATTATTTCTCCAAATATGACGAAAAAGATAATGTTGTTTCTCTAAACGATCCATTTCAGTTAAATCATTCGGTAGAAAATATTTTGAACTGGAGACATTATGATATCTTCTACCACCAACAAAACGAAAAGTATCGAGAATGAATTCATCGAAACCATCATCATCTTGATTCTCACCGAAATTAATTAAAAGTGGATGTTGTACATTTTTTTTATGAACAGATTTATTACAAATACTATTATTATTATTATTCATAATTCACAATTTACGCTAATATTAAGAAGCGAAGATTGATGACATGAAATAAAATAAATAAACTAAAATAAAATTATGAGATTGTATTAGGTTAATGTTAATATACAGTATATATATATATATATATATATATGAAGTGTTGATAATAATTGGGTATTGATGGTTTTAATCAAGTCCGAAGAATCATTTTTTTTTTTGATAAGACGTCTTATTTATAATAGATTTTGTTTTGAATATCACAATTTATCGGAGAAATAGACTGCATATCTATTTTAATCTAAACTAAAAGTCTTGAAGTGTCGGTCAAAAAATACAATAAACAACGAGGATTTATATATATCAAAATTGTTACCGAAGTTATAACTCTTATGTTGATCCATGCAGACAATTTAAACAAATTTATCGATCTATGCGCGGATGAAAAACAATCAAAGGTCTAGACCTGATCAATTCAAATATTTGAATTATTAGTTAAGATTGTTTTAAAACAAACAAATACTAAAAATATTACATACTTTGACTTTTCTAATATCCCTGCATAAACCTTTTACATCAATTTGTCCATTTATTTCGAAAAAAAAACGGGTTAATTTGAACTTTAGGTTAATAAAAATTTTCTTATTGCAGAAAAGAGTGCTTTTTTATATATATTATAAGATTTCACAGAATTATGCAATTCTCAGCCCAATATGTTTCGAAAATTAATAATGCACGCCATAAATTGTAAAAAAAAAACTGAAAATGTGACCAGTTTTAATAAATTAAATATTTCAATAATAATGAAATACGAAGATAAAAAAAAAATAATGGTATTTTCTTCTTTTTTTTCCTTTCTTTCTTTCTCGATTTGACTTAATTAAAAAATCATTTAACAAAATTTTGATTCGCACGGGAAACTTTTTTTTTTGCAAATTCTAGTTGACAAAAAAATTTCAATACTGCACAATATTATTGGCGCCAAACCCAAAGAATTTTTGCAAAACAAAACACGCACACAAATATATATAAATATATATATTATTATGCAAGCAAATAACGAATGGTCAACATAGCCAGAAATTTGGTCGCCAATCAAAAACAATTTTATATATATAATATTGGAGTGCATTTTCTTGTTCAACTCACGTGATTTTAAAATTTCTTAGTCATTACGTAAAAATCATTGGTTTTTGATAATTTTCACGTGATAATCTAATAACTAATCGGATCAGTAAAATTTTAATTATTAAAATCTGCGAGTGTTCATCTACGAAAATCTCTCATGCTGCGCAACTCGCATATCGAAATTAAGACATGACAAGATTTTTTAAGATTACATGCAGATTTTAAAAAAAATCGATTTTTTGAATTTTTATGATCCCGGATTAGTCAGTATCTGCAACGCATAAAAAATATACGAAATTAGTAATGATCATGGAATTATTCTCTTATTCATGTATTCCTCTTTTTCACATCTCTTGAGATGCTGTGATCAAGGGTCTCATACAATTAGGAAAAAGAATTAAAATCAGTTCTTTCAATAGAATAAATATTGTATGAGAAGATAATATTAAAAAAATTCTAAATTCTTTCAAAATTTATAAATAGAATAAATAGAATAAATATTTGTGAAATGTTTAAATTCACTCTTTATGGAATTTTTTTTAAATTACACATGAAAAAGAAAAGACTACCTATAAGAGAATGACATTCTTTTAAATCATATGAAATAAATAATAATTAAAATAATTGTACGATAATTAGGATTACCGTGATTTTCAAATTCCTTTACAACCATGAATATTTAATTAGAACAAAAAAAAAAACTATGTGATTGTAAGATTCAATGTTGTGGAACCATGACACAAACAATGTAAAACATCATCACAACATGATAATCCTGATTAATCAATTTCAATAAAGAATTTCCCAAATAATTGATAGCCTTTTCATCACTGGAGTATCATTAAAATATTAATGTAAATTTTCATAGCGTGTAATTACCTGATTGGCCCGATGAACAAAGTAATATAAAATAATTATGAGAGAATTTTTTTACATATGCAGGCATAAACTAAACCAAATCGAAATTCTTACCCGATTATTTATCATAAAAACGTTATCACATTTTTAATTTTGGTTAAATTGAATGAAACGATATACAGTTTAGATTGTACTCAAAAAAAACAAAAAAAATTTTCTTTTTCTCGTAATACTCAAAATATCTATAACCTGGTTTTGGCTGATTAATTGCCCCATTTATCATTACGCCAAAAAAAATAAATAATTCTCACGATTTATTTACAAATTTTTTTTTTACATAAAGTTTGATTCTTTTCCAGTTTATATCTATTTTCTTTTTGCGGGAAGTTTTTGATTTTTTTCCAACTCTGTCAAAATAGAAATTATATGAATGATTTAATTAACAATATAGTAATTTCTTAAATTGGTACAATTTTTATTTGAATTTATAATTGTCCCTTTCAAATTTATCAAAAAAAAAAATGTCTCAAGAACAAAAAGTACAAACAGGGCCAAATGAAGCATCAGTTGGCCTATCGGGTTCAGCTCCAGCAAAAGATGAAGAAACTAAAAATAAATCCCATTTAGCTATCGATTCCGCGGCGGAAATTCCTGATTGGGAAAAAATTGGATGGAAAAGGGTTTCTGAATTTGGAGAACCTAGAACCGATAAAAAATTTCAATATGAAGAAATTTTAAAAGAATTATATTATAACGATTTATGGACATATTCTGGAGTTGTTTTTATTTCTTTGTTTGCTACTTGGTTTATTGTATTATGTGGCGGAAGTATTGGTTGGGTCTTTGTCTTATGTGCATTCATTAGTATGTATCTTTTTTTATATATATTTATTTATTTATTTAATAATATATATAAAATTTATTTATTAATTCGATTTTTTTTTTTCCCACAGCTACATATTTGAAAAATTCTGTGAATAGATTTTATAGAAATGCTAAAAGTGATATTAGCAGGAAAATTGCAAGAGAGAAATTAGAAGTAGATGAAGAAAAAGTTGAATGGTTAAATGAATTTTTACGAAGATTTTGGTTAATTTATGAACCCGAATTATCAAAGTCAATTATTCAAATAGCTGATACTGTTTTATCCGCATCTACACCAGGTTTCTTAGATTCTCTAAAATTAACCAATTTTACTTTGGGTACAAAGCCCCCTGTAATTGAATCTATTAGATCTTATCCAAAAGAAAATGATAATGAAGTGGTACGTAACCCATCATTAGTGTTGTCCTACATCTATTGACTAATATAATCCTTAAAATTTTAACCATTTTTTTGTTGCTTCTTTCGTGTGTAGGTTATGGATTGGAGAGTTAGTTTTGAACCAAATGATTTAGCAGAAATGACAAAAGCACAATTAGTAAAAAAGGTTAATCCTAAAGTAATTTTAACTGTAAGAGTAGGAAGAGGATTTGTAGGGGCGGGAATACCAATTTTATTAGAAAACATGTCATTTACAGGATTATTAAGAGTCAAATTGAAATTAATTCCAAACTTTCCACATGTCGAAACTATTGAATTTGGTTTTCTCGAAAAACCAAATATTGATTATGTGTTGAAACCTATTGGTGGTGAAACTCTTGGATTTGATATCGGAATTGTAAGTGTAAATGTTGTGTCAAAATTTGAATTAAAATTAAAATTAAATTAATTTGTGCATTTCTTTTTTTCATCCGTTGTTTAAATTCTCATTTAGGTCCCTGGATTATCATCATTTATTAAAGATCAGGTTCATGCAACACTTCAACCAATGATGTACCCTCCAAATACATATCAATTAAAAACGGAACACTTATTATATGGATTCCCTGTAGAATCATCAATCGGAGTATTAAAATTAACAATTAAAAACGCTAAATCTTTAAGAAATGCCGAAACATTCGGTACATCAGATCCATATTGTAAAGTAGTATTAATATCATCCGATGTCACAGAAGCTGGAAAAGAATTAACACGTACAAAACATATAAGTAATTCTTTAAATCCAGTCTGGGACGAGACTCATTATTTATTATTTCATAACTTAAGAGATAGTTTTAAATTCCAAATTTATGATTCTAACGGTAGTCTTAATTCCGATACTTTACTTGGCGATACCACTGTTCCTCTGAAAAATTTTGAGGAAACCCCTAATCAATCCAATAAGTGAGTTTTTTTTTAATAAGACACTAATATTTTTTTTTATTTGCCTTTCATATTTATATTATTTTCTTTTTTAGAACAATTCCGGTTTATCATAATGGAAAACAAAAAGGAGAATTAAATTATGATGCAGTTTGGTACCCAATCGTTAAAACTGAAAAAGACAAACCTGTTCCTGAATCAAGTATGATTGTGTACTTTTTTGCATTATAAATGATACTATAGATATGAACTTAATTTTTTTTAATTATTTTTAGATATCGGAATTTTGAAATTTAATCTTCATCAGGCTAAAGATCTTGATCCAAAATATTCAATGGTTGGAGTATACAATCCATATGTTGATTTAAAATATAACGGAAAAAATATGTTTACATCAAAAACATTTAGGAGAAGCAACAATCCGACTTGGGAGGTAAAGAATAATGTTAAAATATGCTTATTTTTTTTTTTCACTGTAACATCATTTTATTCATTCTCTCGTTCTTTATAGGAATTCTTTGAAATATTTATAACGGACAGAAAGAAAGCAAGTTTAGAATTGAATATTAGAGATGAGAGAGGTTTTGCTGAAGATCCTATAGTTTGTAGTTGGAGTATGAATGTTGAAGATTTTGTAAGACTAAATGGGGAATCAGGAATTGATTGGTTTGATGTTTATGGTGCTCGTAGTGGTAAAGTTAGATTAAGTTGTCAATGGAAACCTGTTATACTTGATCATACTCCTGAAAATAGTGGTATGTGAATAATATATATGATATAGCACGAAACATTTATTTTGTCTTTATTTTTTTTCCTTTAAGAAAAAATATAAATTATATAAAAAATTAATATATATATATTTCTTAAATATATATATAATATATATTTATAATCAAATTTTGTATAAATGTTCGTTTGATTTTAAGTGTTTATGTACTTTGCGTGCTTTTTTTTTTATTTATTTCTGAAAAAATTTGTTTCTCTCGCAGCCGAACCACCCGCAGCTGAACCATTCGGTATTGTTAAACTTCACATCAAGAAAGCAACAGATATCAAGAATGTGGCGCAGTTAAGAGGTAATATATAATAATAAAAAAAATGATGATAATTAAATAACAATAAAAATTACAGGACATTAGTAATTGAATGTTTAAAAAAAACCCCTTTTCAAAATAATCGCTAAACAGGCAAATCGGATCCATATATAAGAATAATGTTAAACTCCATCTATAGAGGTCGTACAAATGTGCGAAATGATAATTTAAACCCGACATGGGATGAACATTTTTATATTCCCGTACATGCTCTTGAAGAAAAATTATTATTATATTGTTATGATTATGAAAATTATGGTAAAGATAGATATCTAGGATTTACCGAGTTAGATGTAAAAGATTTAATTAAAAAATCTGATGATGGAACAATTTTATCTGCTGAAACAATTAATACGTAAGTTCTAGGTTGGATTTTTTTTTCTTTTTTTTTTTTTTTATCAAAAATATCGTTAATATCGTTCGAATTAAAGAAAAAATATTTTTTAAATAAATATATTTGGTATTTATCAGTGCTGCGCCATTAAAAGATACCAAAGGGTCATTATTTTATTCCGCAAGTTTTCATCCTGTATTAATTAATAAAGGAGAAATCAAGGAGGAAGAAATCAAAGAAAAAAATATCAACGTGTTGGAACACCGTAAGTTTAATCTAGATATTATTTACTTAATTACTTTCGAACGAATATTAAAAATATATTTTTATATTTCAAAGAATCCGGAATATTGGTTATAAATATTAATCAAGCAAAATTCAAGAAAAAAAACACATGTGTTGAAGTTTTCGTAGACAATGATCCTTTCCCAGCCTACAATACACAAGTTTCCGACTTATCCGAACCACATTGGGAAGAAGGTAAAAAAAATTTTTCCTTGTCATGTGACCGAATGTATCTTAATTTGGATTTACGAATATATATTTATTATTATTTTTTTTTTATTACAGTCACAGACGTATTCATTAAAGAATTAAATTCTTCTAAAATAATACTTGATATAAAACAATCAAGTTCAAAATCTATAGGAAAGGTTGAACTTAATGTAAAAAAATCATTAGAAAAATGCTTAGAAAATAATGGAAATATTTGGTTACCAGTTGAAGGCATGGACAATTGTACTATTAACATTGGACTAAATTACATTCCTGTTAAATATAATCCTGAATCGCATGAATCGCATGAATCGTATGAATCACATGAATCACATGAATCACATGTATCGCATGAATCGCATGAATCACATGAATCACATGAATCACGCGAAAATATTAACGGTATTTATAACCATATTTCTTGTTTGTTAAGAGAAAATTTTAATTTAACGCATGATTTGTGTTTTAGATACGGAACATCCGCACTCAGAAACTTTGAATAAAAAAGGACATGCAGCAAGTGCAATCACAGATGGTGTTGGTGCAATCACAGATGGTGTTAGTGCAATCACAGATGGTGTTAGTAAAGTTGGATCTCGCCTTTTCTTATTAAAAAAGAAAGATAAAGATGAACATAAAAAAAGTGTGGAGGAAAAAATAGCTGAAAAAGTTATTCCCGATAAATCTAACGATAATGAATTTGTTCCTAAAAAATCAAAAGAGACAAAACCAATTAATGATAAACAAGAGGAGGGTAAAGAAGAGCCTATACCCCCAAACCAACAAGAAAAACCTTCAGCAAATCATGTTGAAATGAATCAAAAAGAAAATCAGAAGTTGGAAAAAACTAATGGAATTAAACCATATAACGTTGATAAACCTAAACAGGAAGAGGAAAACAATGAATCAGCGACAAGACATATTGAATTTAAAGAAGAACCAAAACGTGAGAGAAAGCCAGACGAAGGTTCTAGATCAAGTGAAGAAAATGGTAATAATAATCACTCAAGTAGAATTTCTACATATGACTCAAATCGATTGTCTACGTATGGTTCAAATCGATTTTCTACTTATAGCATAAATCAATCTGGAGGTAATTATTGACTCAATAAAGCATGTATTCATATTTTGAATCAAATAATTCATTTTTTTTTTATTTCTCTGTACATAGAAATTGTTGGTGAACCTGGGACTTTAACAATAACAGTAGTTGAAGCAAAGAATCTAATTGCTGCTAGTGATGGAGGCAAAACAAGTAATTCATACGTAAAGATAAAAGCTAATGGTAAAAAAGAAGTTTTTAAAACCTCAGTTATAAAAAAATCCACCTCTCCAAAATGGTATGTATTTTAAAATAATTTTTTTTTTTAAAAAAAATATATAATTAATTCTCTCCCTTTTGGTTTATCTTAAAGGAACGAACGGGTAACATTAACAATAACGGGTTCTCCGATATCTTACTTATTTTGTGTTCGAGATCGTAATTTGTTATCAAAAGATGTAGAGTTAGGAGAGTATGAATTACGTTTATGGGATCATATTAAGGTTGACGAATACATTAAAGATTTGTCAGTACCATTATCAAAAGGAACAAATTCTCAATTGCATATTAAATTAGATTTTGTTCCGTCTGCACCAAATAGTAGTGCTGAACAAGTGAATTTAACTAATGATAGTAATGGAATAACGCCTAAAAGAACTTCTGGTGATAATGTTAGAGAAATTAATGATAATGGTTTAACTAAATTTAGCATTAGAAGAAAGAAGTAATTTCGAATATTTCAATAGACAATTGTAAACATTTTCATATTATAATTTGTATAATTTGTATTTGTAATTCTATTTTATTATTTATAAACTTTTCAAATTTTAAAAAGTAATTAATACTAAATTTGTAAATATAGTTTAACTAATACACTTTTAGTTGATTAATTTGTCAAATACTGTATATTATTATAAAAACAGTATATAAGACTAGTTTTGTTGTAGATTATTTTATACCATATTTCCAGGATTTTGAACTATACTAATCTAATTTAGATTTAAGTTTGTGTAGAATTTATATATTAATTCTAGCCAAAATTGCATATTACAGAGGGTTTTAAAATTTCTTGTCAATTCTATTTTTAAATAATGGATTTCAATATAATTTATATCATTGGATTCATCTTAATAAAAAAAATCCAATTGCATTTCTAGTATTAATGTTAACTGAAATATTGCAAAAAATGTATTTTTTTACTTTTTTTTGTTTAAACTATTTGAATTATATTAGTATTATTTGAAGTCCTATATTTCTAATAGTTTTTTTATTAATATTTTTATAGATAATGTTTATTTAAAAAATAAATTACAAAAGTTTATTAGTAATTTAAAATTATATATAATATAATATTAATATAATTATATAAACCAGTTATTTTATAAATTATAATTTTATTATTATTATTTTTTTTTTATTTTCATTTATTATACTTAAAGAAAATATCATAATGGAATCATAATAATCAATAATATTTATAGTTTCAATTATTACATATTTATATATTATTGGTTTAATAGAACTATTCATGCAATATTTATAATTAATGGATATTGTATGGTGTTGTATTTATATTGGTTAACATCATAAAATGACATTAACCAATATAAATACCACTGTACAATATCTATGTTATCGTACAGCTAATGCAGATCATGCTTAAATAAACTATTAATATTCAATATTGTACGCAAATAAACTATTGATATCAATATTGTACAATAATGAAAATATTGGATAAATAAAATCAGCATGATCCTATAAGATCATACAATAAACTCCATTACTATCCAATAATTTTATTATTATACCAATACATAGTAATATAAAATAACTAACCTAAATAACAATTATGTAAAATCTGCATAAACTTATAAGAATAACTAATAATAAATTTTATTATACACAGTAAATTTGATATCAGAACTTTTAATATAGTAGATTATAGTTTAGATTATAGTAAGTAAAATTTTAATATATCAGAATTAGGAATTTAAAACAAATTATCATATTTTTTTTTTGCATTTCAATTTTGTCCAATTCTCAGAATTGTTTCAAAAAAAAAAAAAAAAAAAAAATATATGATATATATATAATTAATTTACAAATTTTACTAATAAAATTAATGGTTTCATTATATTAAATTTTACTATATATTTTTTCACTATTAATTATAATTATTTTTTTTTTATTTTAATAAATATTAATATAAACAATTATTATAAAATAATTATTTCAATCTATTAAAATTAAATTATAACTGTTTATTTAAAAAATACTTTACTTTTACTATACAATAAAAATGATTAAAAAAAAAATATAAATATAAAATAAAAAAGTAAAAAAACTATTTCTAGTTAAAAAACTGAATCATATAAATTACAAAAAAAAAAGATTAATAGGACTATAAATAAGACTAATAAAACTAAACTTTTCCTTATATTAATGTAATACTTATAAAAATAAATTATATTTATTTACTATCTTTAGCTAATTAATTTATATTTTGTAAAATTACATATAACTTGCTTTATATTAGTTTATTTTTATAGTATTTCTTTGATAATTTATAATTTATAATAGTTCCTATAACTTGATTTAATTTATTAAATATATTTAATGTATTAATTTTAAAATATTTAAAGTCTTTGTAATTTTAGTAATAATTTATTTTTAAGAAAAAACATATTTATTACTACTATTATATTTTTATATTTTTTTATATAATAAAATTTATATTTATTGCTACTTTATATTTTTCAAGTTTTGAATATTAATTATTTATATTTGCTTACTAATTGTTTAATTTCTTTAAAATTTTGATTTTAACTTTTATTAACAATTTATAGAAATTTATATTAAAAAAAACTTGAAATTTACCATTTATTAGAATACTAAAGTTGAAAAATCTACAAAAAGAAAATGGGTAATTAAAGAATAATAGTAAACAAAAAAGTAAATAAATATTATAAAAAAAAAGCTTACCTTCAAATATTTAAGAAGAAAGAAAAGGTATTAAAAAGCATTAAAGAACATTAAAGACATTATAAATATTAAAGATTGTTAAAAAATGTTGAAGAATAATAGGATATTAAAGAACATTAAAAAAAAGTTGTTTGTTATTTGATAAATAAATTAAAAAAATAATCAGATAATATTATCTACAGGATCCCGTTTACTTATAAGATAGGTCACCTCAGGCCAGTATTGGCCAGTGACTCAAATGACCTCAAATGACTCAAATGACTGGTCACATGTCATTTGGGTCATTTCAACATTAAATGACAAATGACCTAGTCATTTAAAAATTACATCATAATTCTGGCCAGAACTATTCATACAATTTCACTATTTTATGGATAAAATTTTCACATGATATTAGAAGTTCATAATTCTGGCCGGCATTATAACTTGGCCTGAATTATAAAGCATTAATTTTAAATGACTCAAATGACAAATGACCTAAATGACTAGGTCATTCGAAGGTCATTCGGAGGTCATCTCAAAATGGGCAAATGACCTAGTCATTTGCCATCACTGCCCTAGGCCTAAGGTAAAAATCATATATAAAATTCTTTGCAGATCCTAAGGTTGCTTGTCTAAACCTCTTCAAAATCCTACGATTAGTTTCATCAAAATTTTACTATAGATTTATTATAGTTTTGGCAAAGTTTCAGCAGTTTCAGCATTTATAATAAGTTTCGGCAGTTTCACCTTTCTCCAAAGTTTCGCCAGTTTTTTAATATAACTTTAATATAGTTTCGGCAGAATTTCACTTTTCAGTGAAACGCCATCTTGTCTAAACCCTAGATTTCGGCAAGCAACCTTAGCAGATCCTACTATAAAAGGAAATTTTATGTTACATTATTATGATTTTTTTCCTTTTTAACTAATTAACTTAAAAAAAAAGTAAGGTAACAACTATTAGTAAAGGGCCAATTTTTTACGGTGACTTTTATTATAAGTAAGCAAGATCCTATTATCTACATTAAATAAATATATTATAAATAAAAAATTAGTAGGTGATATTACTTAGGTAATTTTATCCTAAGTGAAAATTAATTATAATCCTTTAATTTTTTCTAATTGCAATTTTTTTCTTAATATACTATAAGTTATATAGTAATAATAAATTATTTAATAAATAAATATCATGAAATTTTTATTTTAATTTTATTATTTTATTGTTTTTTTTCTTAAAAATATCAAAATACCACTAGTAATTTTTACTAATTCAATTTTTTGAATTTTATAAATTACATATATTAAATAATTATTTTATATGTAAATTTACAAGAAAAAAAGATTTGTTTAAGATCAAAAAGGCTGTTTTTCAGATAATTTTTAAGAAAAATGCAAAATTTTTGATTTTTAATTTTTCACTTTACTAAAAGTTTTTTTAATAAAAACAATATTTATTAATATATTTATTATTTAAATTAAAATTTTGTGATCAGTATTTTTTAACTTCAGCAAAATTATAAACTGGAATTTTATAACTCCACCTAAATTGTAATTTTTAGTCAAAATTAAATAGTAACAATTACCGGTAATGATAATTACTACTGGTAATATTTAGCAATATCCTTTTTCCTTTATATAATTTGTTTAAAAACAGTAATTTTTTTTTTTATTTATTTAAATAAAAAAAGGTTTTTTTTAAACTTACTATATAATAATTATAAATTACTATTAGTAAAAGCTAAATAAAAGATATACTAGTAATATAATAGTAATATAGTTGCACCTTCATAATTGCATGCACCTGGAGCCCAGCCATGTATATGCAATTAGGGAGGGTGTGCACTTAAAGAACATCCAATAGAAAAATCAATATTTTTAATTGGAGAGAATATTTATTTAAATTTACTTTTATTTTATATTTTCATTTTAATGAAAGAATTGCACATACAAAAATGATATGTAGTGTAAAATAATATAATAAAATTAAAAAGATTGAAAAATATTTTTTATTCAAAAAAATGTAAATTGTTAAATTTATCTATTTTAAGAACCAAACAGCTATCGATGATTGGTCAATATTACATAATTTTCACGTAAATGCATTTATGGAGAGTGTTCTGATATACCCAGAATTCAGAATTACATGCACATGTAGAACATAGAGGGTGTGCATTTACTCTAAGTCTTTAGCTTTGGACCAAACCATAGCATGCATATAGGGAGGGAATGGAGGTGCGACTGTAATTATAAATTATAAATTAATAGTTAAGTAAAATAATATTTTTAATTTTTTTTCTTTAATAAAAAATAACTAAATAAATTGGATAGTAATACAAAAAGATTTAATTTAAAAAATGTAATGTATTTACCATTTTATAATTCTTCAATTTTATTATACAAATTAGTATTAGTTAAAGATAAAAATAAAGAATTTAAAAATAATTTTAATAGGATTTGGATTTTAATATTTTTATATTACAGTTTTTTTTTTAAAAAAAATTCTTTACTTATTAAACACATTTGCTAGTCAAGTAAAATAACTAAAATCTTTAAGATTTTACAGTATTATCAATTGATATTTCTAATTCGCTTAAATCAGCATAGAATATTATTATATTAATTTTGAAGGAATCTACTATTGACATTTGCTTATTATTTCAACAATTATTACACCTAGAAATTTGAAATCACGAACTGTGTTTTATCTTTTTATGATCGCTGAATGCTAATAAAATGCCAATATTGTTTTATATAGTGGTCAAGGAAAAGGTAATTAAATCACATAAACAAACTATAAAATTTAGAAATTTTGATATTAAAAACTTGTGCATTTATATAAAAAAAATTTTGACCATTATGAGCCCGAAATTCTAAATTTTTTTTTTTTTTCACGTGTTGATCATCTTTATCGCTTTTGCTAAAGTTAGTTATAATATACAGACTGGTCATTCCCTTATTATAACGTAAAAAGGATAAGGAGATCTTAATAATTAATAATCTATAATTGGTTTAATTAAAGGTTTTTTTTTGTTTTGTTTGAATAACCAAAACCAGATCAAAACTATTTAGTTCAAAGTTATTTAAAAATAAATATTTTAAAAATTACTTTAATATTTAATAGTTATTCGGCGAATAACTGTTATTATCTGTTATATTGGGTAAATCAAGTTTGTTTGGTTGATCCGGGCCCGAGATAAACTGATCAAATTTGATTCCCAGCTACCTTTAGGTAGCGTTAGTTATTCGGCTTGAAGTGCCGAATAAGTGATTTATCCGGTATCCCGTGATTTAAATATTTTTAATTATAAAAAATCACGTGATACCGGATAAAAGTATATACTATGATAGGAAAAGACCGATATTTGTACCACATCCAATAATTATAGTAGTTTCATATTTGATACGGATTTAATAAGTATATCTCCGCGGAACTGCAGCGGATTAATAAATAGTATTAACTATTCCTTTTAAATTTAAGCGTAGTTTTAAACAAGGGAATTCGTGAAAATTCCGTGAAAATTCATTGTTTTTAATAGTTATTTATAAACAAGGGAATTCCGCGAAAATTCCTTGTTTTTAATAGTTATTTAAAAACAAGGAAATTCCGTGTAAATATATGTTTTTTTTTTAGTATAATATGAATGAAAAATGACAACCACGCGAATTAAAAAAAGAATGAATTTGAAGAAAACTAAGATCACTTCTAAAAATCAATTGGTTCTATTTACATCAATTTTTTTCTTCATTGAATTAATTAATGCGATGCATTTTGTTCATGCAACAGATTTTGATCTAAACTTTTTTTAGAAAATGAATAAAAGACAGATAATATTACACAAACACGAGAAGAAAGAAGTAGATTATCCATATTAATCGGCAAATATATTTCTCGGCAACAGTTTTCCTTTATTCTTAGATTATTAAGTAATAAGGGTGTTGGATTGTTCCATCGAGCAAGGAATTGTACAAATATTCTGCGATGAACACATTATAAACATCTAAGTTTCAATATTATGCGATTTATCTATAAATACGCTGTTGAAATCCTAGCTTCACATTCCAAAAAAAAAAAAATCTTAATTCAATAAGACAATTTTAAAAAAAAGTCAATTCAATCTTACAATTTCAAAATAAATCATAATGATTAAGAGACTTTTCTTGATACTCGTTCTTGTAATTGTAGCCTATAACGCTTTAGTTTCTGCTACACCAACTCAATTTAAAAGAGATGCGGTTTTTAGAATGTCGAAATCTGGGAAATCATCTTTGACGGCAAGACAACTCCAATGCCCGGCAGGATATGATCAATGTCTTGATATGAACGGATGCTGCCCCACAGGCACGGTTTGCATACCTCCTAACAAATGCGACATTCCATGCTCCGCTGTCGCTGTATTTTGCGGTGACGGTACTTGCTGTCCTACGGGCACCGTTTGCGCCTCAGACGGCTCTTGTAGTTATAGTTACTACTAGTCTTCGAATTTATTGATCCATAGTGTTTTTATTTTTGTTGTTTTTTCTTATATTTAATTTATTTATTTATTTTATTCTAACTATGAATGTATTTTAGTTTAACCTTTATTTTATTAGATATTATTTACAATTAAATATTGTTTTACGCATCTTCATTAGAGCGCATATCGTCTAATAATAAATAATCTTTTTCTTACTCGACAAACATAATACAACGCGTGATGTAATAATGTCTTAAAAAAAATAAAAAGAATATTATTATCTCAGTTATTCAAAATTCCAAAAAGTTTGTCCAAACTACAGAATAACCTGATTCCAGGTTAAAAAATAAAATATAATATAAATTTTACTAATAAACAGTTAATTTTATAATTAATATGGCGTTGTTAACCGGAAAAATCACGGGATGCCGGATACTATCTCATCAGTGTCTGTAAAAAAAATTTACGACAATTTCGAAGCAGAAATATAAAAACAACTCGGGGAACGCAATATTAGGGATGCAGAAAAGATTTGGTATATAAGGGCAAAGGTAATTTCTGGGATAGGATTAGAATAGATGAAAAAATCAGAATAACATATTAACATACAATGATTTCGAAATTTTTACATTGTTGATTTGTTATCCAAACACATATATCATACGTATTATCAAAGCACCTACTAATAGTTTATTTATATAATTTATAAAAATGTGAAGAAAATATAATAAACATCATATGTAAAAAATTTTTTGAATTCTGTTAATTTCTCATTCGTTTCTCCTTATGTCATAATGAACTTAATTTCAATAAGCAAAATTTACTGTATATAACAAATCTGTTATTATATTCGATGTAAATAGATAAAACAGTTTAATATATAATAAAATGTATTTATTTTATTTAGCCGTACATAATAAATAATAAATAAATCGGTTGAAAGTCAAATTGTGATTCGAATATTCAATTATAAATATAAAAAAACATAATTTAAATTCTTATATTCCATATTTACTGAACAATTTTGCTTAGTTAACTGTATAATAAATAATTAAAAGTTCTTTAAACTGAAATATCTATATAAACTATTAAACTTAAGAAAAATAAAAATACTATAGAAACTGAAAAAATCAATATACCTGCAATTTATTTTTTTATAAAAAAAAATTTTTTTTTTTGTTTTTTATATGGAAATATTTACCACAGATAATAAGATTATTAATTTAAAATATTTATTAATATCAGTTTTGATTTTTTTGCTATATTATACTTTAAACCAGTGTATTATAAAACATTTTGTTTAAAAATTGTAATGTATATAAAATTATAAAATTGACATTTTAAAATTTGATTTTATTTAAAAATTAATTTTACATTTACTAAAAGGTAATTTAAAATTAATTTACCAGAAGTATCTCCAGTAAAATTTACTAGTAATATAATTTTAGTTTTATATTAATTTTATACAATTTTATATATATAAATAAAAATTTTTTTACATTATAAATGACCTGAACCTTTTTTTCTGAATATTTATAGAGAAATTATTTTTTATAATACTACTAATTCCAAAGTTTTTGTTTTTCTATTTAATAACTTCAAAATGTAATTTTACTACTTTACTACTTTGATTAAATAAAAGTTATTTAAAGAGTTTAAAACTAATTGTATATTAATTTTATAAATATTAACCTTACATTTTTTATAATAGTAATAACTTTTAATTTTTTTTTTAATTGCTAATTTAAAGTATAATTTCAATATTTTAATCAAAATAAAATCAACTTTTTTATTGATTATAAGTTATTTAGCAGAATTAAAACTTGTTATATATTAATTTTTATAAGTATAAGTATAATATATAAAAAAAACTTTAATAATACTAACTTTTAAATTCTTTTTTCTGTTTACTAATTTTAAAATGTAATATTTCACCACTTTAGTCAAATAAAATCAACTTTCTTTATTAATTAAAAGTTGTTTAGCAGTATTAAAACTACTTATACAGTCAGACCTTCATAATTGCACACCCCTTGGGACCATATACATAATTTTCAAAATAGTGCATTTAAAGAGGGTGTGCATTTATAGAGGTAAAATAATTAGAGATCATATAAGCTTGAGACTGAACCAGAGGGTGCATTTAGAAAGGGTATACATAATGAGTGCAATTATAGAGAGTGCAATTATAGAAGTCTGACTGTATATTAATTTTTATAAATATAACTATAATATTTGTGAAGTTAAACATATAAAATTAACTTTCTTTATTAATTGAAAGTATTAAAACTACTTGTATATTAATTTTTATAAATATAACTATAACATTTGTAAAGTTAAACATATTTTTTATAATAATACTAATTTTTGAATTATTGTATATATTATTTATTATTAAATTATATAATTGAATTGTATTTTTAGTAAAGATGTAGTTTTAATATAAATGTAATATAATACTAAATTAAGTTATATTATAGATGTATAACTTATATAACTTTAAAGTAAATTTGATTTAATAATATTTAATGTAACAATATAATTTAAAATATATAATAATGTAATTAAATACAGTTTAACTTTAATATACCAATATTGGCAATATACCAATATAATATACTATTAAAAACTTGATATACTGATAAAATTTTATTTTTCCACTATATATAAATAAATATTGGTATAACTTTAATATAACAATATTTCCTAAAAATTTCATATATATCCTGATATATTATTATATAAAGGTTTGACTGTACATATAATTTATATTAATATTTTTAAAATAAATTAAAGCAACACTAGTTAAACTAATTCAAATTGGACAAAAATCAGATGTTTGAATATTAGTCAAATTTAGTAATAAAGATATCTGACTTGAAATTTCTGATTGTTTGCCATTCAATACCACTCAGAACTGAACTATTTGAAAAAAAAAATCAGCAAAAATTCATCAGAAAATCAGTAAAATTCAACAAATAACCATTTGAAATTTAAACAAAATTGAATCTAATTTTGTTTAATTATTAATGATTTTTATATACTTAGCTAATTTTTAATTTTGTAATAATAATCAATTAATTATATTTTATTATTCCACTTTATTAAAAATTATATATTAAAAATTATTATATTAAATATCTAATATCTACAGTATTTGTTTATTTATATCTACTATCTACTATTTATCATTTGTTATTAACCATTTATTGTGATTTATCATTATTTATCATCCATATCTATCATTTACTATCTACTGTTTACTATCAATTGTCTACTATTATCCAGTTTATTTTGCTAAAATTTTATAGATCATGATATGTTAATACTTAATATAATATAAATATAATATAATTTATATTTATAATTATGATAAATAAATTCTAATGCTTTATATTTTTTAAAAATATAAAATAATCTATTTTATGAATTTTTTAAATTTACAATATATGCAAACAAAAATTAAAAATATTATAATTTTACCGAATTTATTACCATTTAAATTGTTTTAATAAAATAAATTAAAAAAGCTAGAAATCTTCAATTACAAAATTAGAAAATATTATAGATAACATCTAGGCTTTTAAAGTAATTACAGGATCAGAAATAAATATTATAGATAATATGACTTTTAGAGTATAATTATATAATAAATATTAATTTTACAAATATTAAATTATTACCATTCAAATTCTCTCAATAAAATCTAATAAATCCAAAATTACAAAAATCCAATTATTAGATTCTAAAATAACCTTAATATATAATTTTAAATTTTGCAAACTTTACAAACTCAAAATTTTTATAAATTTACATAGTACTACATTTGCAATATTATAGTATAATACTTTTTCAACATTATACTTGCATACCTTATTAAATTTCTGATAAAATTAGTTAAAAATATAAAGTTAAAAATACATTGAAAGGCATTCCTTTGGAATATTATAAAAAATCTATTAGTAGTATATCTCATGAAATTAGAAGTTATTTTTGCAAATGGAATAGAATTTATTATTAAAATTTTATCTAAATTAATAAATAAAAACATAATGAATTTATTTAACTTATTTTTATTATTGCCATATTATATATACTATATATAAGTTTTTTCAACCTAAAAAGTGGCCAGATAATTTTAGTCAACCTCTGTAGTATTGCACTGTCTTTTGGTTGTAATTAGTCAAATGTAATATATAAAGGTAAAGGTAAAGTTTAAGTAAGTTTAATTAATATATTTTAGATGAAATATTATTTATAGGTAATATTTTCATTTTCATAAGTACAGTAGAATCATGTGCTCGACAAACAGGAAAAACGTCACGGGTAACAATATTTCATGATTAACTCCCCCAAATTTGGTAATTGCCCAGACAATACATGAATTTTAACTTTTTATCTGACAATATCCAGATTTATGGTTAGACGTATTATGTAGTAAAACAGTACTTGTTTCAACATAAATTCCTTGTGATTCTAGTATGTATTGTACATAATGCATAACAATTATAACAACTTCGATGAGACAAAATTTATCATTCACTGCACTTGAAACGTTAGATGAACAATTCAAATTATTTAATTTTTTTTTAAAAAACGAAAAATTTAACGAATTGAACTAATCATTTCTGGTTAATTTTCCATATTAGATTTTATTTATTCGTTCCCTCCCTTTTTTAGGGGAAAAGTTGTCGATCAAAATAATCAAAATAGTAAATCTAGTAGTACCCGGTGCTAATTTTGGCCAAAGTTTTTATATACGGCCAAAATTATTCTCTGTATAGTACAAGTATAGTACAACTCCTCTAGCCGCAGTGTTGTACATTTTTGATATCCGCAGCTTTTTTTTGGTTGTCCTGGACATGTCCACACTTTGTCCGTACTCAAAAACTACAAAAATTATTATGTATTAGATAATAAAATAATAAAACAGGATATCGTAGTAAAATTTTGAGCGATTATCATTTCTTTTTTTGTGTCACCCGTCCCGGACATTGTCCCGTGACAACACTGGGCCTCTAGGGTACTACTGTATATGTATTAATTCCAGTTTTATCAATATTCAACGCTTACATAATTTAAGCAAAGAGCTGCGTGATAAAAAGCGTCCAATACAAAACGCATGATAAACTGCAATTGAGAAGCTAAAATCTTTTTGGTACGTTTATCATATGTCTCTTTGAATCTTTTTGATCCCTTTTTTTATGGGGAAAGAGTTGAAAGAGTTAGCTATTGGGTTGATTGTACTAGAGTCGTTCTTTGAATCGCACGGCATAAGCTCTCCGATATTAAGTTTGTGACACGTTACTCTATTTATAATTCGATATTTATTGTGTAAATTGTGTAAATTTGTGAAATAAACATTCAATATTATTATTTTGTCTTTTTGGGGGGACGCAAAATCGTTTCTGTTAAAACGAACGGAGTTATTGTTATTATTAAAAACTTATCATTAAAAATACATGCATGACTCACCCGTATTTATACATTAAATGAAGAAATTACGGAAAGTCATAATGAAAATGAATCTCACATGATAACTGTGTGATAAGCTATAAGAGGAAAATCGTCAATAATAAGTTAGTGTCAAAATTTCTCACGCCGAAATTATCCAGATTAACTAACTGTGTTTGAAAGTGACTATTATTACGTAAATCAATTTAAAATTAAATATATACTCAGACCTCCCTGACTCATTCAAGCTATTCAAATTTGGTTTTCATTTCCTAATTTTTCATAATGATGAGTGTAAGTAAAATTTCATATTTGTTATTAATAAAATTTTTATATTTACTGAACGAATCTTTTTCATTTATTATTCTATTAAAAAGCTTTTAGCATACAATTCATACAATTCAGTCGATACGCCAATGGGAGATGAGCTTGTGGGTCAACACGAAGGTATAGATCCAGAATTAATAGCGAAAGGAATTTTTGATGAAGAAAGCGAATTTCCATATATCAACGTTCCAATTACATTTACCAATATGAATGGGATCTGTAAACAATGTAATCGATCGAATACTTTTGCGAATTGGTGTCAACCATGTAATTCAAAAAGATTTCAAAAACAGTACGAAGCTGATAAAAAATTTTCAAGTGGGAACAAAATGATTGATGAGTTTATTAGTTACGTACAAGAAAATGCCAGTAGACCATCTGAAGTGATTGAATGGATACCTTATGAGAGATTGATTAATATAAGATTTTTTGAGAAAAATTATTTTAAAAACAGGTTAATGGAAACATATATCGCTAATTGGATGGATGGTTATATCATAGGATGGGATCAAGAAACAAATAATTGGAAAAGAAATTATACCGGTGTTGAAGTTTTATTAAAGAAAATTGATGATTCTTGTGTTCATTTTAGATCTCCAGGTGATTTTTTGAACGAGGTATGAGAAAATTTTTTATATGAAAATTCAATTTAACTTTATTTTATTTTTATTTTTTATTTAAAAAAAAAATTTTTTTTTCTAGATTAAATCGCAATTCAAGTTGAATACGTGTGATATTATAATCAAGTGCTACGGAATTACAAGAGATCCGTATACCGGAACTTACTTCATGGTTATGCAATAAATATTTGTTTGAATAAATATACGTATATATGTTACATATTTTGTATTATTAATTTGTAAAAATAAATTTAGATAAAGCAAGATCGATATTTTATGTAATTAGAAAAAAATAAATATACTTTATTCTATTACATACTTTTATGAGAGTTTCATTTCCGAAACCTCATATAATGTAAACCAAAATTCCGCCAGTGACGATCAATACATAATAATCGTTAGCCTTTTCCCTACGCCGCATTTTTTTACTATCTTTGTCGAACAAATAACGCGTCATAATTTTATGATGTCATTTAATTAAAGAATGCATTGTTCAAAATCCAACAATTCACAATTCACAAGCTAGGCCAATTGTTTAACCGAATATCTCTAATTCCCCTAGTTTTCATTAAATGCATTTTATAATGAAATATAACGTATTACTCTGTTTTACATTAAGTAATTTGAAGAAATTGGTTAGCCATATTTTTTAATTGGAACGGCTTAATTGAAGAAATATCTATATGCAGACGCCAGACGGATATTTCAAATAATGTAATTTGTAATTCATTTGTCATCAGTCATCTGCCTTACAATACGTCTGGAATGTATAGATACCTTTAGTAAAAAAATTGCCTATTAAAAACGCGTAAATAATCTGAAAGGATGTTATAATAAACTTATCAAAGTATAAACTGAGATGAAAGGTTTAACCATTACCGTAAAAGTCACTTTATTTTCAGGTAAATTATTTACAAATAGTTTGTATTTTACAGCTATAGAGTTTAAGAGTACTATATCGTATTCATTTTTAAATAAAAAAAATTTATTACTCATCTAAATTATTTTATTATCTTGTTTATTTAAGGTTTAAATTACAAATCTCTCATAATCATCAATGTTTTTTTATAAAATAACAGATTTTATATAAAAAATACAATTTATAATGTGAATTTTTATAATATTCATGGTGCCAGAAGTCTAATCTTTCAACTTAAAAAAAATACAATTTAAAACAAAATAAACTGGTAACTTTATTCTTTAAGATAAGTTCTATCAAATTACCGGTCAGATTTTTAAGAAGATATATATAAAAAGTTATAAGTATTTGAAATTGCAAGATTTTCAAGATTTTCATATGATCAGCCCAAATTTGAAATAAAATATGTTGGCCAAGATTCGGGCTGACTTCATGCATTGTGATAATGCCAGCCCGAATTATTATAATCTGAATCAAATGTAATTTTTTTTTAAAAAAAAATTTTTATCAATATATGACTTTTATAAAATGGTAGCCATATTATTATTGCTAAAATCCACTTTTTCTTATATTTTACTTTGTTTGTTATCAAAAACTGCATTTTATTGGTACTTTATACAAGAAATTCCAATTTTTTATTGGATAAATTTCAGATTACATGATATAGAATTAGCTCAGAAAATCAAAACTGTTAAATATAGACTTCTAGTATCATGTTATTATTAGTTTATAAAAAAAAGTTAATTACTTTTTTATACAAACAAATATGTCTTATATAACTGAAATTACATTACAGAATTAAAAAAAATTTAATTATATATAATCAACTCTTCCTATAGTTATCTCTGTTATAGTCACATTATCATATATAATCACTTCAGGTAGATGTACCAAATTTTTATATATTAAATCTACTATCTGTAGTCTAAAGTTGCTTGCTGAAACCTAGGGGTTTAGGTAAGATGGCATTTTGCCGAAAAGCAAAATTCTGCCAAAACTATATTAAAGTTATATTAAAAAACTGGCAAAACTTTGGAGAATAGCAAAACTGCCAAAACTTATTATAAATGCCGAAACTGCTGAAACTCTGCCAAAACTATAATAAATCTATAGTAAAATTTTGACGAAACTAATCGTAAGATTTTGAAGAGGTTTAGACAAGCAACCTTACTGTAGTCACATTTTACCTATAATTACTATCACCTTTATTATAGAAAATTATATAATAAAAAAATATCATTTACAATTATATAGTCATGTAAAATTATTTTTAACCAATAAAATTTAATAATATAATTGATTTATAAAAATTTTGGTATATTTTAAAATAAAGAAATGTGTACAATAATATATTTTTTTTCTAACAAAAAAAGTTTAATATATTTTGTGTACTTCTATTAAACTAAAAAAATTATTTAAAATTCAGGTTATTACTTTTAAAAGTATGCCACTTTTAAGATTCATAAAAAAAATATACACTTCTTTAACCAAATTACAATGTAAAGGAATTTGCATTTATGTTAATAATAATTCTAAAAAAACTTAAAATGATATAACTTCTTTTTTTAAAATATAATGGACTTTAAATATAAACTGAATAACAGTTTCTAAAATATTAAAAAAGAGAGTTATTTTTTTAGTAAGGTGATACAAAGTGGTAAAAATGGTTTTTATAGTCCGGCCGGGTTAGTTTTGTTAAGTCTTAAAAAAAAATTTTTTATATTATTACTATGCCAGGTGAAAATTTTTTAAAAATTGAAAAAAAATTTCACATATAAAATTTTTGAAAAAAAAAATTAAAAGCTGGATTGCCAGGTTATTGAAGTTTGTATGGCCTAATTGATAATATCTATACTTTTTTTAAATATTTACATCAAATTAAAAATTCACAAGTTAATAAGACATTAAAATTTTGGATTAATTAAATTTTCAATAGTTATATATTTATTTAAATATGATTTTGAAAAAAAAAGCTATTTTTTTTGCACATATTAATTTAAGTATATCTAAGAATATTTTAACTTTTTTCAAATAGTTGAATTGTATAATTTAAAAAAAGAAATGACCTTTGATATCATAAATTATATAGTGAATTAGCAAATACTTTGTTAGAAATATTAATATTATCTTAAAAACAAAAAAAACTTTAGTAATTTTTACGATGATAATATAACTTAGATGATATAATATCTATACTGGATTTTTTTTATATAACTTCTAATAAAACTCTTGTATATAGACTTATTAATGAAACTAAAAAAGTAAAATTTTTAATGTTCTTATTTTATTTCTATTTTATATGTTATTATATTGATTATTATACTTGTGTCTGAAATTATTTTAGTATTATGAAAATACATAATTATATAATTTTGTAATTATTAAGTAATTCATTAAAAAAAACTCTGTATTTCATAATTAATTTTAGATTCTATAATTAATTTTGTATTACAAAAGTATTTGGCCAGAATTAGCTTTAATTTTGGTCGATTTATATATATAAACTTTAATAAATAATAACTTAGCATTTAATGATCTATTTTGGATGATTTTACTACCATTTGATTCATCTTGATAAGGTAATTCTAATGGTAGTAAGATCATTTAAATCCAATCACTAGATCATGTTCTGATATCAATAACTTTAAATATTTATAGCATAATAACTCTATTAATTTTAATATTAGAAAGATGATCTTAGAATTATTTCATTATGACGAATCAAATGATAGTAAATTCATTTAAATCACAGGTCAAAAAGTGAAAAATCAGGCATCAATTAGTCACCAATCAGGCAGTTTACTAACTTTTGATCCAGTAATCAAAAAAGGATAAAATATAGCTTATTGGAATCATCTCAATAAGATGAATCTAATAGTAGTAAAATTATATTTCTAGTATTAATAGTTAATAAAAAATTAAATAATATATAAATAATATATATTTATTTTTATATTTTACTTAATTTCTCATCAAGTATTAATTCTAGAAATGCGATTTTACAGGACTCCAGACATCACATATATAACTTATAACTGATCTGCATGAATTTAAGTACTTTTTACTCCTGCTAAAATAGACCTAATTTGCTAAAAATCAAATTATCACATTTCAAATCTATACTAATTTGCTAAAACTCAAAATATGAGTTAATAATCTTTTTTTTTATTATCAATAAAAAAATAAATGATTAATATAAATTAAACTGCCAATTTTTATAATTAAAATATGTAGATTATAGATAAAATAATAATTAATAAATATAATAAATTAAATAAATAATTATTAAAAAATAAAATGTTGCGAAACTAAACGGACGGTTTTTGGCCCGCATTATACTTAATTTTGGCCGGAATTATACTTAATTTTGGCCAAAATATGACCCGGACCCCGAAACTAATATTTTTAAAAATATTATTTATAAAGTTAAAAACAAAGGATAAGTTAAATTTAAAAAAAAGTACCAATTTGCTCAAATATAAAATATGACTTTGTAAAATCAATACAATTTGCTAAAACTCATAATTATGACTATTAATTAATTTTCAATCAATTTGCTCTTTCTAAAATTATGAGTTTAACCTAATTTTGATTGAATTTGCTAAAACTCAAATGTGAGTTATATATGTGATGTCTGGGGTCCTGATTTTACTACCATTAGTTTCGTTTTATTGAGACAATTCTAATGAGCTATATTTCATACTTTTCTGATCACTAGGTTAAAAGTTAGCAAACTGCCTGATTGGTGACTAATTGATGCCTGATTTTTCACTTTTCGACCTGTGAATCCAATCATTAGATTATGCTTCAACACCAAAAATTATTAAATCTTTATAGTAATTTAGCTCCATCAATATCAATGCTATAGAAATAGAACACACATCATTAGATTTGTCTTGATAAACCAAATCAAATGGTAGTAAGATTATTGAAATTTGATTACTAAATTCAGAGAAATTGAAAAATTTACAATTTTGCACTATTATGCAAATTTCAGAATTTCAGAATATATACAGTTGGCTCGCGTTATAACGAATTTGGTGTTCATGCTGATCTGACCTTCGTTATGGAAAAATTCGGTAACACTATAACGGATTTTTTTGACATCCATTGTATACCGAATTTTTATTAAAAATTCGTTAAATATTTTAAAGTAAAT